CCCTCAAGACTTGTGATATAAGTGTAACAAGGCCGCACTTGCTTCTCGTTGGCGGAAGGTACTTGCCTAGGTTTTTGGTGTTCAGAATTTTATCTTCTATTCTTTTCTTCTGTTTTGAAAGAGAGAAAAAAATTAACTTCTTACTTTTACCCCTTTGGCAGTGATGCATTTGCTCGTCTGTATGATAGAAGGATGCTACCACCACTATCATCATGTCGGAAAAGGATGCCTCCACCTCTGTGTGTCAACTATTTCTGTCCAATGCATCTTTCTGAACGTGTTAGTTCAATCTGATTTCTGCCTTATAGATAAATTATTTTTTCTATGGTCTTCTTTTTACTTCTATTTATTTGGACCTCTGAAAGGAATTAAAAATAATAATAAAACTCTGAGCCAGGAAGCCACTCAAATGTGAAGGACGGAATGCAAGTTTTTTGTGCTCCCTCTGGTTTGGAGAGATTAGAAGATTGAATTGTGGCAATGACATTTCTAAGACAATATAGTTTTTATGTTCAAAGTGTTTACATGCTCATCATCAGTTGCCTCACGTATTTCAGGGGCAATCAGGTTTACACCTAACACATGTTACTTTCAGTCCTGATGGAGGCGAGGTTTTGCTTAGTTACAGTGGGGAGCATGTGTACTTGATGAATGTAAATGATGGTATGCACAGTTGAAATGCTTGCTGCTGCATTTTTATGGTGGCACTTTTTTTTTTTACTTGTTTATCTTTTTATGTTTTTTCTCCCCACGTACATGTCTGCTTTACTTTAGTGTAGAGCTTTGTGGTTCTGCCACCCAATCTCCCCAGAATGTTGTTCTTTGTTCTTATGTTTGCTACTTTGTTTTGTACTCAAATAACTCTGCTGCGTTTTTCTTTGGATTTGTCTGTCTTAGGAGTTGGAACTATGCAGTACAGTCCAGGAGACATAGCAAACCTGTATTCCTTCAGTCATATCCTCCACGGTGTAGAATCTCAACCCCCAGTTTCCAGTGTTCCTCAAAATGGCACTCGCAAAAGTAGCAATCCTGCAAGGGTTTGTTTCTTCCTTGTACAACGGACCCTCAAAACGGCAATCACATTACATTTTCTTTATATTTCCTGCATCCGACTCTGTTGTTTTTTCAGCTGAAAAAGTGCAGGGAGTTGGTTGAAATAGCCAAAAGGTCCTTAGAAGAGGGAGCTGATGTTTTCTATGCGATTGAGGCATGCAGTGAAGTTTTGGATGGGCATTCCGATGAGATTGGATCTACATTGAAACATGAGTGCCTTTGTACTCGTGCTGCCTTATTGCTTAAGGTTTCTGGAACTGGTGTCCAAAACTGGCTTATAATCCTTTCATTTGATTCTTGATGATGATCTCAATTGGCCAATTCATTTGTCTCGCAGAGGAAGTGGAAGAATGATGTCCATATGGCTGTACGAGATTGTCAAAATGCTCGAAGCATCGATGCTTCCTCCTTCAGAGCTCATTATTATATGGCTGAAGCATTGCAGCAAGTAGGCCTACTATCCTGTTGGCTTTCCAAATCGAAGTTTAATTGGTCCAGAGGGACGCTTGATGTATCCTAAGAAGATTCTAGACCAATTAATAGTGCAGGCAGTACATCGCTTGAATTTTAAATTTAAGTTTGATGATTTCCCTTTGAGAAGTGGATGACTGCTTCTTTGGGGGCTTACATAATATGGCATCACTAGTGGACATATGCCTGTTTTCGTTTTAAGACCACTTATCATACATATGTATGCTTCATGTCTCTGTTAAGCATCCGTCACCTCGCCCGTATGGTTTTGTTAGTTGACTGATAGCAATGTGTTAGACTGTCTTGTTTTCTTGCTTTACTGTGGTCCATTATGTTTAGGTTTGGCATATTCTGAACAGAGATGGTCCTGCACTATGCAGTTGGTGTGTGGTTTGTCTCCAACTTTTCTTATTCTTTTGTGATTTCATGCAGTTGGGAAGATGTAAAGAAGCCCTTGATTTTGCCATTGCTGCACAAAGTATGAATCCGCCTTCAAATGCTGACATAGTGACTAAGGTGGAGAGTATCAAAAGGGATCTTGAAGCAGGTTTGTGACCACCAATGTATGCCTTTCTTGCAAGTATATGCCCATCATTTTCTTTTTTCCTTATATTGCTTCGTTTTCTTCTTTCGAAGAGTTCTTTGAGTTATTTGTTTCATAGACAAACAAGTTGTTTGTACATTGCATTTTAAAGATGTCAACTAATCCTCTCTATTAAATTTTTTGGTGCAATTCTTTACCAGTATTAATGATGGGAAGAATATTATAATGAGAAAAAAATGATAACCATGGTTTCATGAGATTGATACTTGTGCTAGGGGCTGGTGTAGAAATTTTGAGTCAAAGCAATGAAATTTTGTTTACTCTGTAACTAGCTAGCCAACTTTATTATGTCCTTTCTCCCTTTTGATTTTTGTTTGGTGTTTTTTCTACATCGAGCTCTGCCTCTCATTTTTGGTTCTGCTATTGGTTTTGCTTGTTCAACTATTCTTTGTAGGATAATGTCTAATTTTATTTTCAATTTGCTCAAAATTATGTTTGTTCTGCAGAAGTAAAGTTGTTCTTAGACCATAGTCTCATATCCCTGGATATTTCTTCTGGTAAAAGTTTTTGAAACTTTATGACCGAGGAAACTGTTACATTAATGTTATTTTTCTGTACTTTTCTTGTGATCGACAAAGCAGTGGACGCTGAAAAAAATGACAAGACCAAAGTTCAGACTGCTAGAGTACTTTCATTGAGTGACATACTCTATAGATCAGAGGCCAACAGTGACACCTCACATGATATGCCAAGATCTGAAAGAGAAGAATCTGATTATGATGAGGAACTGGAATTGGATATTGAAACTTCAGGATCTGGTGATGAAGGACGTGATGTGGAATCGAATGCTTTGAGTGGTGGTCTTAACCTACGATTTCACCGCATAGTTGACAGAGCTGCGGAAAACGCTGGTAGTAATGGCTCCAGTGGACCTCCATCTTCGTCGTCTCAAAATGATGAAACATCTTATCAGGTTCACTTTCATTCATTTGGCATAGAACTAATTTATACATCTCAAATTAGGGTGTAACTATCACCGTTGAAAGAAAGCAACTTTGCTTGGATAATAGAATTAACTTTTCCAGTATGAAAGACGTAGAATTGTGCATTTAATACAGCACGTCAGATTATTATCTTTCTTTCTGGTTCACACGGAAATCCTTAGTGACCCAAAGGCATTAGGATAGGATTCCATTGAATGCAATCTGATCCAGTGCAGGAAGTGACACTGCACGGTGTAACTCATTCAAGACTGGTAACCATTTCAAAGTGGGTTGGAGATTGTATTACTGGCTGTAGTTTCTTGCAAGTGATAGATCCTGTTATGTAGTTCGCTGTTCGCATGAAAATTTTGCCCGGATATTCTTTTGCCAGTATTTCCAATTTTTGTTTTCATTTCCTTTTTTTCCTTCTCATTCGTATTTTCATTGTGCTTTTGGTTTCTTGGTGGTTACAGCCAGAGGCAGCAATAGATATGAAACGTAGATATGTTGGCCACTGTAATGTTGGAACGGATATTAAGCAGGCCAGTTTTCTTGGTCAAAGAGGTAGGTTTCTTTGGGTTGCCTCATTTCGCATTCCTTTTGTTTATTAAATATTGTGCGGTAAATGCTTGTCAGTTTAGTGTCTGGAATTTCGAAATTCATTTCTGAATTTTGAGTGCGGGACAATATCAAAACTTCTTGTTGGTATTCTCCGCCCATACCTTCTTGGTCAGTTGAGCTAGTTTTCAATAAAGACATGGATTAATATTTTCTTGGAATAGTAAGTTAGAATCAAGAATTCCAATTGTAGTCAAGACCGCAATCCGAGATTCGTGATAGATATAGAGTATAAAGTTTGGAAGAGCTGGTTTCTAAAGAATTTGACATTGCAAATCATGCATTTAGCGAAACAATTTATCAATATGTCCTGATTGACTTTCAGGTGAGTATGTTGCTAGCGGAAGTGATGATGGTAGGTGGTTCATATGGGAGAAAAGGACGGGTAGACTGGTAAAAGTGCTCCTCGGGGATGAGGCTGGTACTTGACCTTTTCCTTTGCAGAAAATTTACCAGTCACTATTTTGTCCTGAATTTTCCTTGAGCTTCTAAGATCTGTGTATCTTTTGCTTTAGTTGTGAACTGCATACAGTGCCATCCCTTTGACAGTGTTGTAGCAACCAGTGGAATTGATAACACTATAAAGGTGAGGCCTCGGAGCTTTAGAATTAATATGATTTCTGTTTATGAAATTTCTGTTTTTAAACCTGCAAGCGTATATTACCAGATATGGAGGCCGACTGCATCAGCTCCATCGATTGTTGCGGGGGGATCAGCTGGACCCGAGACCGCTAATGTGTTGGAAGCTATGGAGGCTAATCAGCAGAAACTGAGCCGTAACCGTGAAACGATCCTGTAAGTTTTTTTATGACCGTAAATCTATCATCTCATCATGTTTTCCGTTAAAGACTACATAGGCTTAGAAAATGGGCTGCAATAGAACTCTGTTTTTGTTTTTTCTTTTTAAATCTTGTGGTTAATATTTGCTGTCAGGCCCTTTGAGCTTTTGGAGCGATTTCGCATGCACGAGTTTTCTGAAGGAACACTACACCCATTTGAGTGTACTCAGAGCTAATAAGTAAAGGCGGCTTACAGGTAACGGAATACTTTGTTGTTCTTCTTCCATATCAAAATCTACTTTTAATAAACATATCTACATAGTGATATGAGGAATATATGCTTGGTTTGGTGTATGTGATGATGTGAAGCTGTTTGTTTTTGTTTCCTCTCTGCGACAGCTAAAGCTTTTGTTCTTCGAAACCAAATACTATACAAAGGGATTCCAAGTGTGTGTGTGCGTGTGAAGGGTGGTGGGGCTTTTGGATATGTGGATTCATATTAGTAGCTCAATGTGTAGCCGTTCTAAATGACACACACATATATATATATATATATATATATATATAATGCATGTATATCTACATCTTTGTGTTGGTCTGTTCATCTACTGTTTCAATTGTAAACATCTCATTTCTTTGTTGATACATTAGTTCAATAGATTTGTGTTGGTATCTCGCTATGTATATATTGTTTTAATTGGCGAAATTTTAAGGTTTTTTATTTTATGGTCATTCTCTCTCTTTCTATTCGAATAAAAGCTTGAACCTGTTATTACAAAAGGTACACTAGCTTTATGGGAATTTATACTAAAAAAATACAAAAACTAAAAGTATCCTATCCATATATTAGTCTAATGTAGAGTGTCAATTTGGATCTTTAAGATCCTCTTTAAGGATCTTAAGTCCGTTATGACTCCATTCGAAAAATGTCAGATTTCGAGTTTAAATTTTTTGGTTCAGAAAAATTCAGATTTTTGGATTGGAGTCAAATCGGGCTTTGGATCTGATTCGGGTTGGTCCGAAGTTTTGATAATTGTTTTTTCAAAAAAAAATCTTAAATTTACAAAGAAATTGAGAGGGACGGTTCGATCCGATCAGATTTCAAAATCTGTAAGACCAAAATTCAGATTTGGTTATATAGACCTAAAAAAATTGAGTCGATCCGAGTCTAAATCCAAAATTCACGTCAGATCGGATCGGGTCAACCTGATTGATAGTCTTAGTCTAATATACTTTATAGCCCTTGGTAAAGGCTTTTATTAAATACTTTAATTAGCGTTGAAGATTCGATTAATTAATTTAAAAAACGTTTTATGAATTAATGAATGAGAACCAAAATCTTAATCAGTAACCAGTTGAGGTCCAAACCGTTCCACGTGAACCGAATAGATCTTCCAGTATCTTCCTTAACTATTGAAATGAAGTAACAATCCAGACAATGACAAAATAAGAATAGTAAACTATTATGCAATTATCAGTATGAAATAATTAAGGTATGAGCTTGGCATTGCTATATTGGCCAAGACCATATAAAATTTCATCAATGGTTTCTGTCTTTTCATAAATGAATCTTTTTTCTTAATTTATTTATTTTCTTTGTATGGACTTTTAGATTATTGGCCTCCATAAAGCAAAAGGAAACTGCGACTTTTGATCGACTGAGATGTATCTTTTTTTTGTTTATTTATAATTACTCTTATTACTTAAATCTTGAGCTTTCATGTATTAAAGATATTCACATTAGAACATTCGGAAAATAAAAATATCCATGAAATCACTTCTATTTTAGGTGAAGAATATAACAAAAATTAAATTTTCTATATGCAAAAAACAAAAGAATGAACTATCTTTCAATTTTCACATCATTTTAGCGTTCATAAGAAACAGCTTAAAGCACGTTAAAAATATATAACGGGCAAATTCATAGCAGTGGTTAAATGTCCAAATTGCTTTCCACCACGGTACAGTCGGTGCCAACTCTCTGATTTGTTTCCAGGTTGCGGTTGTGTTGAAACTTCCCCTGTAGGTGTCTTCTCTATGTTTTCAAAGATGCTGATCTTCTGCTTCGTTCGTTGTTGGCGTCGTTTCCAGCGTGGTGAGTGCTTCGTGTAAGCGCTGCTCTTGTTGTGATCGCGCCGGTGGTAGGTTCCATCCGTGTTCGGTGGTGGCCGAGTTGACTGAAGCATGTAATGGGATGCGAAGCCGCCATGGCCCCTGTTCGCCTATGAGATCAATCAGTGGCCCAAGGTTTGTCCAGTCATCCAGCTAGAAATGCGTGTTTTTCCCATTTCCTATCTTCTTCATGAGGAAAGTCTTTGCAATCTCCTTGATTTCTAGCAGTTTTCGGAAGTTCCATGTGTGTCGTGGAGAGGGGTTTGTTGTCCAATAAGCCTTCCGTTTAAACAGATGTTTTCGCACACAAACCACCCATAGCGATCCAGAATTGGCGAATAGCAGCCACACCAGCTTCAATCTGGCCGAAGTGTTGATATCCACTAGTTTTCGTAGTCTTAGCCCACCGATAGTTAGTATCATCAACTCGATCTGGGCAAAGAATGGCCCCGAGTCAAGGTTCAGAACATGGAAAATGGTATGTACATGTTTAAGATGCCACGTAGTTATGGTGAGTGGATAAAGTGGAATATTTCAAAATAAAATGATAAGATGTTCAAATTTTAGAGAGCTTTTAGTTTTTTAACACAACTGAAGGGTTCTTTTTTTTTTTTTTTACTTTTCTTATTTGATTACAAATTGAACAAATATTGATTCATGTGGTGTAGAATTTAAATAATCATCAATTATATGCTTAAGTATTAATGGAGTGGAAGACCTCATTGTTGGGGGTAGGGGTGGGCACGGATCGGATATCCGTGATTTTTGAGATATCCGTATCTGTATCCGATCCGCACAAATAGTCGATTTTATTATCCGTATTCGATCCGTAATTTAGGGATATCCGAAATTATATCGCGGATATTTGCGAATATCCGTATCCGACATAAAAATTATAAAAATTAAATTCAAATTTAAATAACAATTTTAAATATAAAAGAAAATATATAAGTTATTTAATATAAATGTTATTCACAATTTAGAATTCATAATTTAAATATTTTAAATCAATTCAATTACAAATATAATCATAATCTATTATATACAAATATATTGAAAGTTCAAAATTTAAAAATTAAACCTAATAAATTTTAATATTCAAATGATTAAATATTCTAAATCTCAATATATAAAAAATATTTCTTGAATATATATATAAAATATGTAAGTATAAAGCATTTTAAATTTTTATAGCAAATTATTTTTATATTTAATAATATTATTAATTAGTACGGATCGGATCGGATATGTTGGATAATTCGAATTTGATATCCGTATCCGATCCGTATCCGACAAATATTTCAAAATAAATATCCATATCCGATCCGTAAACTCCGGATATCCGAATTTTCGATTCGGATACGGATCGGATAACGGATCGGTTCGATTTTTTCGGATATTATGCCCACCCCTAGTTGGGGGGAGGGGGAATAAATTAAGGTAATGTGCATTTTAGAATGGGCTACAGATTATTGAGCATCATGCGTGAGACAAGAGGTTTCGTGTATTATAATATCATGCATACAATAATGATATTTATAATTGAAATAATATATGATATAAGTATATTAAGACTGACACATAAATACATAAAACCAAAAGTAAGAGACCAAAACAAATGTAAAACAAATTCGAATTAAATACAAAAGTAATACAAACAATTGATGACATTTTTTGAAAATAAATATCTTTTGTAATGAAATGAAACCTTAATCGAATGTGAATAAATTTAAAATTAACTGATATAAAAGTTAATAGGATATAATTTTTTGGGAATATATATCTTAATATACATCATGGTATTTATATGTGGATGAGTTTGCATTTACTTTATTGAATCAACTCAAATGGATGAGGCCGACTGCGACTAAAGTTCTGTAGTGTCCTTATCATATTGTATTTGAGACTATCTTTTTATTTTTATCATCGATCTTTGATGTTTCTTCTTTATTTGTTTTGAAATTTTTATTGTAAGTGTGACCATTAAATCTCATTTTTATTGGTAAATATTTTTTATAAATCATAGCCACAATATCAGAATCCAAAACCATCATTTCGTTTCCATTGGACTTTTCTTTTTTATTTATTTAATATTTTATAATAAATTTTAAATTTTGAAAAAAAAATACAGCAAGAACAACTAATCATGAAATAAACCAGTTTCGTAAACGTCATCATAATACATAAACCAGCTCCTTAAATGTCATTTATTTTATTATAATTATTTTTAATTTTTATTTTATAATAATTATTTTTTATTTTTTATTTAATTTTTATCAAACGATTCCATTAATTTTTTTTAATGACATTTAGAACGTTTTTATGGTATTGATGATCATTATTCGAATTAAGGACGATCATTTTGGTTATTAATCGAATAATGGAACTGAATAAAATATAACAGTATTGAATCGAATGTGGTATAAAAATTGAACAGTTATAATTTTTTTAAACTCGAAAAATCGAAATCGAATCGAACCGATTCGAAAAATAACCAAATCGAATCGAACCGAAGTTGATATAAAAATCGAATAGTTATAGTTTTTATATAACTGAAATAACCGGATCTAAATATAAACAAACCGAATCCGAATCCGAATTGAAATCTGAAATAGTCAACCCTAATTCGAACGGTGACACTTTCAAATAAAAAATTATTCTATGTATCAATTCTTACATCTTCTACTACCGGTGGGGTGACAGCTAGTTTTGGTATGTTGGGAATATCCTTATTGCCTCAAAAAAGTCAAATTATATTTTGATTTTATTTATATATTTTTTTGGCACCAGATTCTATTTAGATTTTTGTTAAAATTTAAAAACTCAATATATATTTGTATATATAGTTATATATTTGTATATATTATATACTTGGAGCCTATAGGAATATATCATCGTAGTCATCATCATTATTATTATAGTTATGATTTAATTTCTTTTTTTAATTGAACTTTGGACTGTTGTAGCATATATAGATCACTAACGATCTCTATTAAATTATTTTGGAAACCCATTGAAATGTATGTGTTAAAATACCCAAATAAAATATGGTGTCTCCATAACGGGACAAAGATTATAAATAAAACATCTTACGGTTTTAAATATCATATTAGGTAATCTATGTTACAAAGTCAAATCCTGCAGATGTTAATAAAATTTTAGGTTAGGAATGATCTAATAAAATGCGAACGCCCTCCTCACGTTAAAAATAGATAAAAATAAATAATAAAATTCTATCAGCAATTTAATATCCATTAAAAATAAATAAAATATTATTAATTTCTATCCACTTCAATTTGTTTTGGGATAATCGCATTTAAATACCCGAACTTTTACAAAAATCCCACATAAATATCTGAACTATAAAATTGTCATATAAATACCTGAACTTTTCATAACTCCCACATAAATACCCAGACTTTTAAATTTTTTTCCAAATCAACCACTCATTCGTTAACGTCGTTAAACGTTACTGTTCATTCGACAAAAAACTGCTGACTCAGCAATGACTCAGCAAAAAAGTGCTGACTCAGCAAAAAAAAGTGCTGACTCAGCAAAAAAAAGTGCTGACTCAGCAAAAAAATATTATTAAATATTCAAAACATATAATATATATTAAAAATAAGATTTATATGTATATATATTAGTTATATATACAAAATATACATATACAACTAATATATATAATTATAATTATATACAAATCCCTAATTAGTTGTATATGTATATTTTGTATATATAACTAATTATAATTATATATATTAATTGTATATGTATATTTTGTATATATAATTAATATGTATACATATAAATATTATTTTTAATATATATTATATGTATATATGTTAGTTATAATTATTTTTTAATACATATATTATGTATATATATAAATTTAATTATAATTATTTTTATTTTAATATATATGCATTAGTAATGATATATATATATTTATATATTGTAGTTATGTGTATATGTATTTTATTAATTATAAATAATTTTTTTTAATATATATTTGTATATATATATATATGTGTGAATTTATATGTATATATTAATTTAAATATATGTAAATAAAATTTTGAATATTTAATAATATTTTTTTGCTGAGTCAACACTTTTTGCTGAGTCAGCGGGTTTTTTTTGCTGAGTCATTGCTGAGTCAGCAGTTTTTTGTCGAGTGAACAGTAACGTTTAACGCCGTTAACGGATGAGTGGTTGATTTGGAAAAAATTTAAAAGTCTGGATATTTATGTGGGAGTTATGAAAAGTTCATGTATTTATATGACAATTTTATAGTTTGAGTATTTATATGGGATTTTTGTAAAAATTCGGGTATTTAAATGCGATTATCCCATTTGTTTTTATAACAAACCATTGTATGATACTCATATATTTTATTTTAAAGGTTCACATAATTGAATTGGGAATAAATAGAAATTCAAAGTATATAATATCTCAAACTTTTAACATAAGGTCGTAGTAAATATATACAAAATATAAAATTTGAAATTAGAAAACGGAAATAACGAATTTATTTTATATGTGCACTGAATAAACTCTAAATACTAGAAAGTTCTTCTATAAACTGATTTTTCGTTCAATATAAACGTATCACGAACGACAAAAAGATACAATTAACAAGGGATGAGAAGAATATTAAAAAAACCGAGTCGATCTGTTATTCAATTCGTATCCAAATAAAAAATTCGAATATTCATATATTAAAATCAAATTAACTGACATTTACTATCTAATCTATATATTAAATAATGTTATAAATTATATAAATAATTTAGCAATTAATTTATATTTATAGGATAATTTTGAAGAAAAGAAAAAATACATCATTTTTATGTATATTCAAAATTATGGATACGATATATATAAATATTTATCATATTTTACGATCGATAAGTATATTCAAAAAAAGAAACAATCATTTTTATTTTTATCATATTTTAGATACGAATATTAATAGATATCCGTAATTTTACGGATATCCCAAATTATAAATATTCATAAATTATAGATTGAATATAGATAATAATATTGAATATTTGTACGAATCGAATATGAATACAAATACCAAAAAAATTATAAATATTCTATCCGTATCCACCTTATAATTAAGTAACCTCATCAATATCTCTAATTTTAGTTATTCACGAATTAATGAAGCTAAATATAAACTCCTAAATTTCGCCTAGTTGATTATAGTCCAACAAGAATTTAAATTTAAAAATTATATAATATTGGAAGCAACTCCAATATCATTATAATATATTTGTGTAGTTATTTAATGATTTTTGTAGCTAGGATGGAATAGTTAAAGGAAATGGACATATTGTGGTGGGTGGAAGCAGACAAAAGGCATGAAGCCTGAGAATGAAGAATTTTTGGCTTTATCTATTTATTTTATTTTATTTATTTATTTATTTTTGTCAATATTTATAATTCCAAGCAAGTTGGGTGTTACCCCTTCCTCTTATTATTAGTCTTATCCCTTCTTATATTTATAAAACAGTTCATTTGTCCAACCAATAGTAACAATTCCATTTACCACGAGTGGAAATAGTTTTTATCGATATATGAAAACACGAAATTTGATATATGCTGATTTTGGATCCGGTGGAGGTTTGTGTATTTCTGTAATTTAATATCCCAATCTTTAATTTCGCTATACATTTGTAAAAATAACTAAAACGGCCTTCCATTTTTTTGTATAAAAAAAATAGAATACTTGAGTACAATTGTTGAATAATGATCTTCAAATTGAAGTATTAACTTTACCAAAAAAAAATTGAAGTATTAAAAGACAGAAACGTTTGAATGTTTTTACAAAGAAATTAAAAATTACAAACTACTCGAAAGATAACATTTATGTGCATTTTCCTTCAATATATATATATATATATATATATATAAATGTCATTTTAAATATATATATATATATATATATATTAAATGTCATTTTAACTAGTACATCAAAATATCGGGTTATTTTCCTAAATCCCTAGAAAAAGAACTGTAATTACCAATAACCATAATATTAATATGTGCAGAATTCCAACAAGAGATTAGTCATAGGGGTGGCCAATTCGGGTTTCGGTTCGGGTTCGGTTCGGTTATATTCGGGTTCGGTTATTTCGGTTATAGAAAAACTATAACCATTCGGTTTTTATATAAATTTCGGTTCGGTTCGGTTCGGTTTTGGTACAAAGTTCAATTTTCCAAAGAAATTGTCTGTTATTCTCTCGGTTTTTTCGGTTATTTTTTATTCGGTTCGGTTCGGTTTCGGTTTTTCGGGTTTAAGAAAATCATAACCGTTCGGTTTTGATGTCGGGTTCGGTTCGGATACGGTTATGTCTTATTCGGTTCGGTTCGGTTCGGTTATTCGGTTAATAACCGAAATGGCCACCCCTAATTAGTCATGTGAAATTTCCAATTTTGGGTTTCTGGACAAACCCGAAGAACGTTTGGTTTTATAATATATATCTACTCTAACAAATAATTTTGTTTTTGTGTACATTATTTGATTAATGAGAGCTAACCAAAGGCTTAAACATAGGATATAATCAACGTTTTAATTTCTGAATAATTGAGATAAATGATTATAGGGTTTGATGTCAAATGTCTATATTAAGATTGTAAGCCAATCCGACAATTATTTATTAGAATCACAAACAAAAATGAGAACTATTAGAGTATATATTATTTTTGATAGTTTCTATAGAGTTATGGGCAAGTTAGCTATTTTAGGAATATTATTGTTATCCATGTTGTATTGCCCATAATGTTTTGTTTATGAACATGTGTATAAATAAGTGTATATGTGTAAGGAAATAAATGAGAAAATTCTCCCATTTCTATGAAATGTAAAAAGAACGAAACAGCTGTTTATGCGATTCAAGTTCGCGTGGTTTATCTGAAAAATAAAACTGTAATATAACGGTTCAATTATCGGATATATAAAAAACTTTGATCTAGGTTGGACCCCACTGTAATTAAAATATAATTTAGTGTAGTCTTAAGTATGTTGACTTTGCACCTTAATTGACACACATCTATATATACACGCGTATATCGAATGGTCATTGAGCACTTGTTGAACCACCATATTGAGACAAACAAAATTAACATTTGTGATTAAATTAAATACAAAAAATTGCTCTGAATTTAGTCTGCTTCTGAAAACATAAAACAGGACAAAAAATATTTTTAGTATTATTATTATACTAATTATTTTTTAAAGAGCATTTCTGTAAATAATAGAAAGCGGGCGGAAAGGAAAAATATACACACACGCATATTTGTATGTATGTATATAACTCTGTTCTGTGAATCTGTGGTCTTTCGAACCAAGGGGCAGCAGAAAAGAAAAACTTTGTGCGACGCTCTGAACATACTCTCTCTCTCTCTCTCTCTCTCTCTCTCTCTCTCTCATTTAGGGTTTCTATTTGAATCAACGGATCTGTGATCGCTGTCAATGGAGTTGTTCTGTGTCAATATATCCTAGAATCTCTCATGGATTCCTCTTCACCGGAATACCTACGCTACCGCCATGACCAACTCTTCTCCACGTTCATCATAATCCTCTCTGTGACTTCATCGTTTTTCTCTTCCTGTTGTCCTCTTTCTCGCCTGCTGTGAAAATGGAGGAAGAACGGCGCATTCTGTTCGGGAAATACGAGATGGGGAGGCTGTTAGGCAAAGGCACCTTCGCCAAGGTCTATTACGGTAAACAGATCACCGGCGGCGAGAGCGTCGCGATCAAGGTTATCAACAAAAATCAAGTGATGAAGAAACAGGGGATGATGGATCAGATCATGCGAGAGATTTCGATTATGAGATTGGTTCGTCATCCCAACATCGTCGAGTTGAAGGAGGTCATGGCCACCAAGACGAAGATCTTCTTCGTCATGGAGTACGTCAGAGGCGGCGAGCTCTTCGCTAAGATCGCCAAGGGGAAGCTGGCGGAGGATGTTGCCAGGAGATATTTCCAGCAATTGATCTCAGCTGTTGATTTCTGCCACAGTAGAGGCGTCTCTCACCGGGATCTTAAACCGGAGAATCTCCTCCTCGACGAGAACGGAGATCTGAAGGTCTCCGACTTCGGGTTATCGGCGTTACCGGAACAGCTCCTGAAAGACGGATTGCTCCACACGCGGTGCGGAACTCCGGCGTATGTGGCGCCGGAGGTTCTCCGGAAGAAGGGGTACGACGGCGCCAAGGCGGACATCTGGTCGTGCGGCGTCATCCTGTATGCGCTTCTCTCCGGATTTCTTCCGTTTCAGGACGAGAATCTAATGAACATGTACCGAAAAATATTCAAGGCGGACTTCGAATTCCCTCCCTGGATTTCGTCGGACGCGAGGAGATTGATCTCGAAGCTTCTCGTCACCGATCCGGAGAAACGGATCTCGATGCCGGCGATCATGCGAACGCCATGGTTCCGTAAGAATTTCACTAGCCCACTCGCGTTCAAAATCGACGAGCCGATCTCCTCGCCAAACAGCAAAAACGACGGAGGAGGAGATCAGATTACAGATCAAGCAGAGAAATCGATCTCACCGAGATTCTTCAACGCCTTCGAGTTCATATCATCGATGTCATCGGGATTCGACCTGTCGAGCCTGTTCGAGAGCAAGAGGAAGCCGAGGACGATGTTCACGTCGCGATGCTCAGCGGCGGCGATAATGGCGAAGATCGCAGGGGTGGCGAAGGAGATGAACATGAGGGTGAAGAAGACGAAGGAATTCAAGGTGAAGATGGAAGGGAAGACGGAAGGGAGGAAGGGAAGGTTGTCGGTGACGGCGGAGGTGTTCGAGGTAGCGCCGGAGGTCGCCGTCGTTGAGCTCTGCAAATCCTCCGGCGACACTTTGGAGTACAATAGATTCTACGAAGAAGACGTAAGGCCGTCGTTGAAGGACATCGTGTGGACGTGGCAGGGCGATAATCATAATCATAATAATTAGACTGTAAACGGTGATGTGGAATTTTGGGAGTTTTTGTATTTTTAAATTTGGTTTGGGTAATATTTTTGTAAATTAGGAAGGAGGATTAAAGTTTGTTTGTGAATATACAGTTATAGAATTAGGATAGTTGAGGGGTGTGTGTGTTTTCCCTTACTAATCGGAGTACAAAGACAGAATTCTACAGCTGCTTGAACCTTGTTCGGTTCATCATGTTCTTTTATTAATTAAAAATCACCAGATAGGGATATCAAAATGAACTGGTATTTTTGAAACTCGTTCATAGATGACGTATAACTTACACTTCAATTTAATGTTTTAGTATTAAAATTTTATATTAAAATATTTTTTATTTGATATTTTTTATAATATAAATGAAAATATTATCTTTTTTGTTCTCAAGTCAGCTTATTTAGTTTGTAATTGAACCAAAAAAAAATTGATTCATTTTTAGAGTTAGAAGAATTCAGACGATCGAGCTTGTTTGGAATCGCGCTTTTTAAAAAAAGAAATCATATTAACATTATATTTGTAAGTCAAAGTAGACGTGAATGGAAAAATTAAATGAAATAAAGTTGAATATATATATATATATACACACATACGGAATATAATGGGATAATTCAAATTTTATTCTGTTTTTATTTTGACCACTGAAAATGGTTGTTTGCTTGCTTGCGTTTGCCACTAAGAAACAGATGAATTTGGTGGAGATATGTAAGGATGCAAGTGTTAAAGAGAAAATGACGCGTATCATACAGGGAAATATTCTGTAAATTTATAGGACACGACATATTATATATATATATATATGTATATGACAAATACTTTGAATCCAAATGGAACATGCAATGGTACCGGATTTCAATTAAAAAAATGGAATCAAATGAGTTGGTTCGACTAAATACGCATTCTGGTTTCGAAAATATTTGAAGCATTTCTAGAAAGAAAAAAAAAGACAACAGTAGAAAAACATGCGATGACTTCTCAACCGGCCAATTAGCTGTTTGAAATAAATAATTTTGGAAATTATAATCAGAAATTTTTCTTTCACCTTGAATATCACTCACAAGTCAAATAAAAAAAAAACTGAAATAAAAATAAAAATAGAAAAAAAAAAAACAATCCAGAAAAACCAAAGCAATAATACTCGGACACAAAACACACACTGACCAACAATTAGACACCAACTAGAGAAGCCTCTCTTTTGGTTGTATTTAAGAAAAAGGGATCAGGAGTGGTTTTGGTTTTTTGATTTGGGTGATAAATCATGTTACTAACAAAATGACAATAAACACCAATCAGAACATAACTGGTGGTGGTGCGGCCTGTCTCCTGTCATCATCCTCGTGATGCACTAATAGTTCTTCGACATTACAAGCCACAACACCGACAGCCTCTACACACGCGCGCGCACACACACACACGTAAACAGGTAGCAGATGCTCCAAGCATTGAGCGTCATTGTCACAACTAAATACACCTATATATATATATATATATATGCATATATATGTTCAGGATGAACATAATAAGCTTTGACATTAAAAAAAAACTATTTCCTCCTATTATTTTTTTCGCTCTCTTAACCATTGAACTCCTCACCCGTTCTCCTGCTGCCAGATTCTGGCAGAATTGTTGTTACCATATCTCGGCAGCAGAAGACAAAGCGGAAGAAAGATGAGGGAATAACCCCACATGAGATTCCTAACATTTCATTATTCTTATGGGAAAGAGAGACCAAATTTAAAGTCTAGGAGGAACAAAGCTTAAAATGTAAGGACTTACATGTACGCTCCGAGCGAGTCACTCATTCGCTCCACTCGGCCTCTTCTATAGGAGGCGTACGTTCATCCCTCCGCTTGCGTTTGGTGGAATTGCTGTTACCAGTAAATGCATCGTACCAATCTCCTACCCTCAACGCGTTCGACATCGTTATCACTGCTGCCTCGATTAGCTCCCTGTCTTCTGGATGTAGCTCGTCCAGTGATAGAGCTGACGCTACCTCGTCAAATTGGAGTATAGTTGCTTGCTACAAAAGAAACATCATCACCCAAACCAGGGAAAAACCCCCCACTTTCAATACAAGATCCAGACTTTTGATTCTGATCGAAGGAAAAAGTTCCAGTCTTTTACCACATTCATGATATCGGCCTCAAGAGTTGTATCTCTGTGAAGCTTTGGGACCGTGATGGTAGAAAACCACTGCATATATTCGTTTTCGTCGGTATCACCTCCAAGATTCTGCACAATGTTCTCTCGTCGTCTCATCCATTCTTCCCGTGCTGTGTTCACGTCTTCTACTAAGTCTTCCTCGTGGTTTGTCTTGTCATTCTTCCTAGGAGGAACTTCTCCAGGAATAAATTGACACATCCCGAACTGCCTCATGCATCGGTCCGGGAAGTGCCACTCTACGACTTTAGGACCAATCAACCTTGTCCTGGACCTACCCAGAATGATACTATCTTTGAAACTTGTCCGCACAATGTCTAAATCTCCTCCGTAAGGGCACCAACTAACCTGAACGTAACAATGACAAATTGAGATTTGAGAGATGGTGACGGGATTGTGACATGCTTTTGATCTAAAAGCTACGCCCTTAACCCTCTATATCAATAGGTGATATATGAGAAGATCAACAACATAATTATAACAATTACATGTTCTTGAGATTCAAAAACCAAAAAAAAAGTGTGAGAAGGAATATTATTTAACACTTACATGTGATGGATCTAGATCGTCGAGTGCCTTGCGATACTTAAATAAGTCATTCTTTGACCGACTCTGTTGCCTTCCTTTCCACAAAAGTGCCAACGGAAATTGATGCGGAGTTCTCTTGGGCCGATCAATATCCAGGTGGAAGTAACTCCAACACTGAGGATTGCAGCAACCGTAGTTAAGCTACTCTTCCCTAGGACCAACAATGCAGATGCTCTTAAAGATAAGTGAATGAGCGTCTAAACCAAAAACACAAACCTGTAAGAGTGTCAAGCAACCACCAATGATACTCTGAGACCGTTGAGAGGCATTGCCGATTTGTCGATACAGGAAAGCTAGTGCTGCAGCACCCCAGGCATATTTTCCAGCTTTCTCGAAATCCTCGAAAAAGAGAAGGTAATCAACAGAGATCTTACTGGGATCAGTAGTAGCAAAGATTGTGCTCCCAACAAGGTATACGAGATAAGCACGTGTGTGGTATTCAAGCTCTTTCATCGAAGCTCCCTTTGGACACTCAGAAAAATTCTCCTTCAACCACTTTGCTGTGACCCGATTACCACTCAATTCACCCCTGGGTGATTTCCCGAGAAGTCTTTTACATACTTGAGCAGGTTCTTCATCTTTGTCTTTAACACCAAGGACAGGTTCCCCGTCAATGGCAAGACCCAGGATCAAAGAAACCTCATCAAGGGTAATGGTCATTTCACCACAGGGGAAGTGGAAAGTATTGGTTTCTCTCCTCCATCTCTCGACGAGTGCAGATATAAGTGAATTGTTCAAACTAATCGATCCTATAAGCCTAAAATACCCAAATCCTGCTTTGTCAACCAAATCTATCTGCTCCTGCGTGAGCTTCCAGTGATGAAGCAATGAAGTGCGTTCTTGGCATCTAAGGACACCTCTTTCCTGCAAAACACAGAAGTTAAGCTACCCACTTCGGTATGAACATAAGGAAAGAACCCTTTACTAGCAACTCACAGGAAGGCGTAAAGATATATACTTTGATACTGACTAATACCTGGCCGGTCAAAATAGCAGAAGATACATGCTTATCTTGCTCGTAAAGAACCGAAGTGGTCGAAAAGCCGTGCTTCTCCAGTTCAGTATTCACAACGGCTCCGACACCATTCTCCATCATCAAGGACACGACAGCAACACTGTTCTCCCAGGCCTCCCAAACTACATTCGCAACATCAAAATCAGATTCTCCGGAGGGAAAAACATACACCTGGAAAACCCCAATTCGGCGGATACAGACATTGTCTAGGAATTTCTTTCGCCACATTGACGCAATTTGTAAATCTCGAATCAAAAGACAGTTAAAGAACATGGATAGACGAAGGAGAAATACCTCCGTTTACGTGCCTGGTGTCTGATCGTCTTGCCTTTGCCGACGAACAATGATCGAATTCCCACCGACGAGAATCCGTTTAGCCTTACCCTCCCTTGGTTCCGAATTTCCCTCTCAAAAGCCTTACCTGTGCCCTAACTAAGTTTTGGGCTTTCATGAGGTATTTTAGTCATTTTGCTATGCATAAATGGCCCTCAAGAAATTAATTATTCAGAATAGTTATATTCTCAGTATTAATTTTTTAGGATTTATTTATCTAAAACTTCTGACATATGATAATTACATTAGTTTATTATCCCCAATGAAACAATAGGTTTTTTTCACGATTTTATAAATACGAACAGTTATTTGAATTTATTGGTTTTAAATAAATACTTTCTAAAGCTTATTTTTTTGGATATTTTCTCTACATATATCATATCGTAATTTCTAAAGTTTCTCAATTATGAAAAATCTCATATCCAAATTCAAATAAGAAATTGTTATTCAAATTTTAAATAAGACATTACTCAAATTTAGTACTCCCTCCGTTTCAAAATATTTGTAGTTTTAGTTTATTTTCCATGTTTCAAAATATTTGTCATTCTACATTTCCAAGATAGTTTTTTACAATAGTTTCCAATTTTATCCCTCCCAAATTCTAATAAATTATTAGTGATAACATTATTTTTATCATTAAATAAGGTTACATGTGTCTTTTTCTTTCTTTTCTTAAAAAATGTGAAAAATCCTAAAACTACAATTAATCTGAAACGGAGGGAGTATTTTTTTTCAATGAAATTGCAAATTCCCAAGCCTATACTCTTCACTTACCATTTATGGTGGTGGTGTCTTGCTACCGTTTTTATGGTTTTATTCAAAGTCTTTGTCCGATCTATACTTTAATTTAAAACCCACAAAATTTTGGAAAGTATTTGAATTCTACCATTTTCTTACAGTTCATCAATACAAAAATCTAAATCGCTAATTTAGCAGCTAAAAAAAAATATTCCAAAAGTCCATACACATTTTCCTAATATGATTATAAATATAACAAAAAATGTTAACATAATAGAAATTGATTGAAAAATACCTAAAACTGTGAAACGTGGAAATGATTATGCAAAATCTCTGTCTAAAAAAAATTGATAATATTTAAATAATCCTCAAGATGTGAATGCATTAAAGGAGGTTCCAAAATAACCATTCAAAAGTTTCCCTCCAAAACGCCTCGAAGAACACTCTGTTTCTCGTGATTCTCATTAATTCTCCTTCCTTCTCTTCAATCCCTATGATGATTCCGCTTCTTTAAATCTCTCTTGACCTCGATCTCGATCAGAAATCTGTAGTTGCTGTTCTTTGAGTCGAAATTTCGATTTTGGAGGGTAAAATAGGGGGAATCTTCGGCGGGTGGTTTTTCCGATGGACAACGGCGGCAGAGGAGTGAGTGCTGGGTGCATGAGGATCAGATGCTCTTCGCCGCGGAGGATCATGGCGCGGTGGTTCTCCTCGCAGGAGAAGGTCAAGGGGAAGACGGCTGTCGCGGAATCCGGGCGGAGAGATGGTGACGTGACGAAAATCAGATGCTCAGAGGGTGGTCGGAGAATTGCCGATCCGTTGGATTGGGTGATGGAGAGAACTGATTCCGGTAATAATTGTGTTTCCTTTCGTCTGATTCATGTGTGAGATATCGGTATATTCCTCGTACAAAATGTTTGATTTCATCTGAGAGCAAATGAAAAAAAAAACTCTATTAAATGTTCATCGAGATGGATCGACCAGGTCTAGAGGAAAAACTCTACCGAATGATAGAAGGATGATGATTCACTGAGATTTGTCATGATTCAATCTCCGTTTTTATCGGGTTTGATGGTTTATTCATGTAAATTGGATGGGCTGACGTGAAATGTGGAAAATTTCTGCCTTCTGCTGATGATATTGGGTACCATCTATTAGAACAATTTACGAATTCAAACATCAACGAAGGCCAAATCGCCAAAACAGCAAAGAAATAAATTGCTTTCGATGTGAATTTTCATGTTTAGCATCTCAGATGGGATCCAAGAGCAAGATAGTATTGCGTTGGTTTGTTTGGCGATGCTTTTGCCCAAAGCAGTTCTTACATTTTATACTTTCTTTGGGTGATAGAGTTGCCAAGAAGGGATTTTGTGTTCAATGTTGGAGTGAGTTGTCTTCTGCTACATCTAGTTGCTGCTGGTAGAGAAGAACTCCACAAGATGGCCGGGCTGCGGGCCGAGTTGGAGAAGTTTCTTGAAAGTTTCAAGGAAGAACCGCCGATAAAGAATCGAGGGTTTCTCTCTGAGCCACCCGAGCAAAGCGGGGTCTATGCGTATTCCACCACGGATGTTCAAGAAGGTCCTGATTCTTCCAGTCACCCCTTTTCTCCACAGATCTCTGCGACATCGATGAATACCGTGCAAGAGGGATATCTGCAACACTATCCGTGCCATCGAGAAGAAGATCTCGGGGGAGGAATGGATCGTCTTGAAGCAGAACTTGCAGCTGAGCTTGAACTTCTCCAGACTCGTTTAGACCCGGAGCATATGCATTCTTCCATTCATCCCAATCAGGAATATCTCGAGGTAAGTGATTGTCTAGTCAATCTTGATTCTGTGATTTAGTTATCAAATATTCTGATAGCTACGCAGTGATAATTACTTGTTTGCAATGGAAATCAAATCCAAACCTGGTGCTTTAAGGTTTTGTTTGGCTCTGAAGCATGAGTTCGCCGTTCTGAATGAAATCACAGGACGCAGACAAGATCATTGGAGAATCAGATGGCTTCGGTTTCAGACCAACAGGTGTAGGAGAGGAGAAGAGTTTTATTGACGAACATGAACATGGACTCAAAGGGGTTTCTCCGTACGATCTGGAGAGAAGATTGCACGAGTTGGTAGAGACAAGACATGAAGAGCAGATCAAAGAGCTCGAAGCTGCATTGGAACTTGCGAAACAGAAGCTTCACTTGAAGGAAACAGAGGTTTCATGGTGGAAAGACACTGCTTATCTCGTGTCCGAACGGATTCCAGAACCTTCTAGAATCAGTTCCAACTTGAAGGGAATCTCTGGAACTCACCCTCTCTCCAGGTGATCTCAATCATGTTCCTTTTCCTTTTCAATGATGTAAAACCGTTGGACCACATTATCAATGTAACTACTCAAACTAAACCTTTTGATACAACTTTTTCTTGAACAAATAAATTTATAAGATTCCATCAAGATTACATGTCGGTATCCATTTATGAATACATCATTTTATATATTTCTTGAAAGCTTTAAATTGTAGAACAGGAACTGCATTAGGAGATTCCCAGTCTGCATCAAATATCTCCTGAAGCTTCTGAACAATCTCTGTGTTGTAAGTTCCAAAACTCACACCACTGGTCCCATAGAAGTAATCCCAAACTAAATTACTGGTTCCTATGTGAGCTCTCACATCGCTAACTGCGTATTTCCCGTGGTTAACCCTCGTGAAATCCGGATATATATTCTCGGTCCTTGTCCCGTTCCTAATCGCCGGACCTGTCTGGTTATAACCTGGAACCACATAGTACTTGATCTCCACTTGTCCCGAACAGTTGTTGTGGTCCGAGGACGAGCAAAGAACGTTGGAATATAGAAGCGACCGCAGGTATAAATCTGTTGTTTCGATGAAATGCGCCCAGTATGCGACTAGTATCTTCACTTTGGCATTCTTGGAGAAGACAACCTGCGGTTTTTGGACAGTAATCAGATAGCATCGATTGGTTAGAATTCTAGGGGTGATCACGGGTTTGAGTTATCCGAATCTAAACCGGAGTGTGTCGGATCTCACGAGATACCGAATCTGGGATCGGTTTTGATGGATACCAAAAAGTCGAATATCTGAGATAGTTTTTGTATATCCACGTGTATCCGAAATCAAGTTTAAATACGAAATTTCAAATTTTTTCAGCATAAACATCATAGATTAATTGTTGATACGAGTAGTATTCGAATTTTTTAAAAGGTTTCAATAGATTTGTGTGTAATATATCTAAAATTTAGGTGTATAAATATCAGTTTATTGTTCATTCGGGTCGCGGGTAATATATTATATGATATCAAATCTAATTACCCCAAACTTATTTTCGGGTTTTTCTCACGTTATAACCCGATTTTATATTGTACTTTGGTGGAAAATTTTGAATATCGAACCATGAGTCGGGTCGATACCTGAAATTCGGTTTTTTTTTTCCTAACCCTACACTATTTGGATATTTGTCTAGAGGCTCGAGTAAATTGTCAAATGTGAAAAGCCAAGTTTGTGAAACTATGAATGAAGAACTAACTACCTTGGAGATTGCGGAGGATAAGGATGACCAGAAAACAGTTGGCTTCGTGTATTGAGACTGACCGAGCAAATCCATTGTAGATATCCTCACCGTTCCTCCTTCTCCCGCAGATGCGATTGTATCGATCCATCCTTGCTCATCGGATTGATGCTTCCCGAACAACAGCTACATATGCAAATAAAGGCGTCGATTTTATTAGGAAAGCGCTTCCTCTGCACGGATAGTATAATTCAAGGCCTCGGGTTTAGAGTGGATGTAATTCGAGTTTTTTTTTACCTCTGGTGGTGCAAAAGATAGATAGCTCGGCTGAGGTTCCGAGAAGCAATTCTTTCTTCCATGAGCATCGATATCGATATCAAACATTTCGGGATCAGATAATGAAGGGTATCCCACTACATGAGGCGTCTTTATGTATCGTGGAAGAGGCGACCTGGAACCGAAAAAACAAAAACAGACGAATCATACACCATGTTTCGGATATGTACGCAAAGATTTCTGCTGCGGAATACTCCGTACCTGCACCTTGTTTCGGTAGGAAGAAAACGGGACCAACAAGGGACAATTCTGTTGATAAGCCATTGCTGATCTGATACAGTTCTTGTGAAAACAGAGGAATCAAGAAAAGCCAATCTCCATAGATTATCGAAGTAGAGTTCGACCCTTTTCGCAATATCTGGACACCCATTGAAGTAAACTCCAACTTCCTTCACCTGCCCGAAACCCCAATGTCGGAGGAAGAACACCAAAAACACTAACACAATGCCCTAAAACGGGCACATTTTCGATTTACCTGAGTTAGAGATTTCCAGTCATTGTTAGCAGATCCGATGTACACATCACGACGGTCTGAAATCCAGACTTTGGCATGAACAATTCCCGATCCCCACCATTTGCTTAGCAGGAGAGTCACGTTCTTCACGTTCGATCTCCCAGAAGCGAGATCAGATGGTTCTTTTGTATAATCTGGGTACACTCCTGAATGAGACAGTAGCCTACACAATAACAATTGCAAATATCTTCACAAAGACAGAGTTTTTTTTGTGTCGAACTAGATTGGTTATAAGCACTGTCAAATCCAGATGCAACAGAACCAGACCATGTTTTCCTCAAGATATGGAGCTTTTTATACGCTGATATATAAGAAGCAAGTGCGTTTCCGATAACAGAGCTATGCCTGAATTTGAGCGTTTTTCTCTGGTTGAAATGGCGGATTAGGGCAAAACTCAAGCTTGGTATGTGATTTGGGTGGAGATTACCTGATACTAACGTTGCGGTTTGCAGCTTTATCAATGGAGTCGTAGACTAGAGAACCCTCATGAGCTCCGAATCTTTTCAGATCTGAATCTGAATATCCGAAATCGCCGGATCGAGGATCCTTTGGATTTGCTTGAAGTTGCCAGTACTGTGCTATTATGTCGAGAGATTGTGTTGAGTTGTTTGCCAACCACTGAAACACTTCCCCTGCACCACACGCATTTTCCATCAGAATCGAGATTTTCTCGGCTGCCAAACAAGGTGATGCTAGAATTTCCCGGGGAAGAAACAAAACAGAGAGAGGGCAATGAAATCATGTCAGATATTTACTGCGCGCAGTTTCCTACTCTGCCAAAATCCAGACTTTTCCTGGGAAACAAACAGGACATGCAAAAGAGAGAAGCAGGACAAGATTTACATCGTTGTTTTTCCTCGAACCCGAATTTTCTGGGAAGCCAAACAGGGCGGTTACAGAATCTTTCTTTCCCAAAATTTTCCCCCAAAAAAACAGAGCAATACAACAGGAATTTCACTCACTCGAAACCAGAAAACAGGAAAAGCTCAGAAACCAATTGGAATGAAAACAAAATCATGTTTTTAACGTCACAACCCAGTAGAATTTTCTCACCAAAGAGCAAACTTTCTCGAGAAAACCAACATCGGGAGAGAGAGAGAGAGAGAGAAAGCAAAAGCCAAGCTTGGTTACCGGTGGAGAGGACGCCGGAGACACGACGGAGCTCCGGCGTGTCGGTCGGGATAGACTGAACAAGCCACGCCTTGCATCGGGCCGATGACTCAGTGACACGTGGCAGCGATAGAGTGGCCACAAACAAAACGACGCCATATAGGACTCTGATCCTGTTCTGTCCGACCGCCATGGATTCTAATACACACAGAGACGAAGAACCCATCCCTTTATAGCAACTGCACACGCCGAATATTCTTTAATTATTCTGACTTCACCGATAATTCCGATCTGAAAGTCAAAACCTTGATGCATCTTTCTCCAGTTGTTCACATGAACAATCAGGAAAAAAAAACAGAATTTTTGTGTGCGTAGATTCAAGGTTTCGAAACAATGAATTCATCAGAAATTTCAATGCGAATGGATTTTTTTTTAAGAAGAGAGTGGAAGAACCGATGAACCCACCGGAAATTTGCCGGGAGATTCGGTCAGATTATTTTCCGGCAAAAGAAAGTGGTGACCGTTGGGCCAAAGATCCTCTGTGTCAAGATTTCCTGTCAAAATACAGAATATTCCGATTGATATTCAATAGTTTCATGAATTGCCATTGATTCTGTAAATAGAAACTGTGATCCGTATCATCTAAATTAAATCACCATACCGAAAAAATAGATTTGTTGCGATAAATGCATAGTCCAAACTGGGAAGTTTCTCCCTCGCAGTCGATGAAAAGATTTTTTTGGACAAGAGTTGGAATCATGCGACGGTTCGCCAATTTAGCTAATCAGCTAATTATGAAAAACGGCTTTAAAATCTATTCTATCCCAAAAGAATCTGATTTTAATTTTAAATTTCCAAGTTTAATTCGTATCAGTGAAACACAAAGGGAGACCCTTTTGCCGAAAAGTAAGTGCAGTAAAAAATAAAAAAGAAAATCCTGTGAAAGGGTAAAATCATGCATGGAGAGTGAAAACAGGGCGCGTTTTGGTTCGGTTTTTTGGAACCGAACCGAACCGAATCGTTAAAACGGTATTTTTCTCGATCCGAAACCGCTATTATTTTTCGAACGATACTATTTTTAGAGAACCGAATTTTTCCGAAACCGAACCGAACTTTAAAAATCCCGAAAAACCGAATATTTTTAAAAGAAATCTAACATTTTTTTAATAAAACCCGGAACCGAACCGAACCGATACCGAAACCGAACCGAACCGAATACAATAAAAAACCCGATTGATACCTATTTTTATAAAACCTAAAAAACTGAACCGATCCATTCCATCCTGAACCCAAATCGTTTCCCGAAATAATCACCCCTAATGAAAACCATATTTTTTCTAGGGAAACAAACAGAAAATGGAAGAAAAATCATATATAGTAAACCACACGCATTTTATGTAAACTTGATGGGAGGTGGGCCATCGGATCTGTTAGGATAACGTAGGAATCATTATTTTATTACAGAGAATACCAGAAAAAGTCGCCGCTGTTTCAGGTACCAAAGTGGGTTATCTCTATGCTTCTCGTGAAAATACCCACTCACTCACACAAATCACTCATCTGTCCCTTGGCTCTGCTCTAGGGTTCTCTCTCTCAGTCCCCCAACTCCGACCCAAACTCAAGGTCTGTGATATCTCCAACCTAGATCTTTCTTGGGAGATTGAAGCAACAAGAACTGGGCTTTTGTAGGAATATTGTTTTTTTGACTTCTGGGTTTTTGTTCTTGTTGTTGAATCTATTCTGGGTTCTCTCTGGTTTTCAATGAGGTTTAAATTATCAGACATGGATGGATGGGTTTAGCTTAGTGCAGAGTGTTAGATCTCCTCTACTATTTGCCATCGTGCTTGTTCCTTTCAACTTTTCTGCTTGACAGTAACTGATGATTAGCTTCATGATGTGTTCTTTGTTTGGCCTTCTGATATTGTCGAGACACTTCCTGTCCTGATCCGTGGCCGAATCTCTTGCAACAGGTAAAGATGCAAGCTGCGATTAGGGCATTTGTATCTGGCGGTGGAAGTGTTGCCAAATCTGCTGTCTTGCGTCACTTCCGTGTGATCAATCCGGCAATCCAATCTGCTGTGTTCTCTCGATCTGAGTCAACTCAGCCTGCTCGGATCGAGGAACACGGGTTCGAGAGCACTACCATCTCCGACATTCTGAAAGCCAAAGGCAAAAGTGCTGATGGTTCCTGGCTTTGGTGTACAACCCATGACTCTGTCTATGACGCCGTCCAGTCCGTACGTCTCTCTCCCTCTCTCTCTCCTCTTTCTCTCTCTGCCCTTTATTTGAATCTTCTCTCTTATCAATGTCTTGCTCTGGTAGATGACTCAACACAACGTAGGAGCTTTGGTGGTGGTGAAACCTGGTGAGCAACAATCCATTGCCGGAATCATCACAGAGAGAGGTAACAGAATAGCGAGTAGCTATCACATATTCATTGTCTCTTTCTCGGCATTGTTGTCTTTGTAACTTCAGATTCAGTTGTATTCTCGGTATTTACAGTGCCCCTTTTCGTCTTGACGATACAATTTCAGATTATCTCCGGAAGATTATAGTGCAAGGGAGATCATCCAAATCGACGAAAGTCGGAGACATTATGACTGAGGAGGTATAAACTCTCGAGGGAACTTCATATATCAACATAATCGCCATTGTGATTTCCTTGGTTAACTTTAAGATGAACCGAGTATATACGGGCATTTGCAGAATAAGCTCATCACTGTAACACCGGATACAAAGGTTTTGAAGGCTATGCAACTCATGACAGGTAAACTTTCGTTTTCTGGTTGATGGTATCTTATCCAGTTTTCGGATTAAGGACAAAGAAAAATGGGGGGGGGGGTTTGGCAGATAACCGAATCAGACACATACCGGTAATCAACGACAAGGAAATGGTGGGGATGGTGTCCATTGGAGACGTGGTCCGAGCCGTGGTGACTGAACACCGAGAGGAACTTGACCGCCTAAACGCTTACATACAGGGAGGGTACTGAAAAGAGATGGATAAAGGTTTGAACTTTGCCGGTCCTTCAGCTTATGCTAAAGCTTCTTTAGACCAATCTTCAATGTAAATATGCAGTCTGTGTATTTTTGCTTGGAGAATAATGAAATGGCATGTGGGGACATGCCAAAGAACCATTGATGATCTTGCTCTTGTCTTGTGAAAGACTCTTTATGTTTAATGTTGGGGCTATGTACTTTGTTTTATGTCATAGTCTTCAGGTCTTGTTTCTTGGTTTTGTAATGAATGAACTGAAAGTGGTTGGATGATGACTTGACAAAGAGGGTTCTCCTAACCTCAATAAGTTCATTCACACGCCAATTTCACATTGGATATTATTAACCCAATTGCAAGTTTATTCCTAGCTTATCTATTCATAGAAATTCCATATATTTGTATTATATTTCTAAAATCCGAATATTTTTCTAATAAATAAAGGCTAAATTAATATACAGTGTAGTAAAAAAAAAAGTTTAACATGGGATTGTGAAATAGTATGGGAAACTTGGGCTTTGTTTTGGGCTTCGGCCTTAGCGGTGAGTCCATTAGTCTTACACACGTGGCGAGATATCATTGGAGGATCGGTCACTGTATCGAAGACAAACCGGGAAGATAAACCGGGATCTCTGTTACACCTGGTCTAGCAGTGTGTGAGACTAACTATATACCACCATAGCTCCCAGCTGCAGATCTGGTCTCTTTCCTTGTTCTTCCCGTGTGAAACTGCCATGGCCATGGAGCTTTGGTGCTGTGGCAGCAGGAGAGGAGCTTCTGGATCCGAGATTGCTGTTATTCTTCTGCTCCTCATCCATGGAGCTCACTCCTTCTACCTCCCGGGCGTCGCTCCTCAGGATTTTGAAAAGGTGACTTATGCGTTTTGTGTTCGTATGTTCTTCGATCTGATTTTGGTCTATCGGATCTGAGTTGGTTTAGTGGTTGATTCGTACTTGGTTCGCGAGAAAGCGAGGGAAAATGAGAGTCGTAGTGCTGATGGTCCGGGATTCCAACAAGTGTGTCTCGATGTAATTCGGATTTGCTTTGATCTAATTTGATGGTGGATCTCTTTGTCTGGACAATGCAGTGTTTGAGGAGAGTTGCACCGACACTTTTTCTTATGGAATGACCATATTCGTTTCGATTTAGAATTAGATCGCTTTTTAACTGGATTTCCTGCTTTCTCCATCATCTTCTTACTGCATAAGAATCATAGCTATGGGTGCAAGGGCATCCATGTTAATGCAGCATTTATGAATCCTTGTGAAATATTTGATTATATGGTTTAATGAGATTCCCTCTGGATTCGTAGTTTTGTCGGTGCCTAATCTTTACAGAGGCTTTCAGATCACCCATCTTCTCTTTTGATTTCCCTGCATGCAGGGCGATGAGCTGCAAGTCAAGGTGAACAAGTTGACCTCCATAAAAACCCAGCTTCCATACTCCTATTACTCCCTCCCGTTTTGTCGCCCGGCGAAGATTGTGGACAGTGCTGAGAATCTCGGAGAAGTACTTCGTGGTGACCGGATAGAGAATTCTGCTTATGTGGTCCGTCTCTATTCTCTCTATCGGCGAGCGCCTTTGACATCAGTTTCAAAATCCGTGTTTGATCAGGATTCTTTTGTCTGTTCTTCTCTCTCTGATTATCAATGAGTTGAAAAATTGCAGTTCAAAATGTGGGAGCCACAAATGTGCAATATCCTCTGCAGGGTCAAGCTTGATGGGAAAATTGCGAAAGAGTTCAAAGAGAAGATTGATGATGAGTATCGGGTCAACATGTAGGATCGAGGACATAAAAATTCCTTTGTTGAATTTATCACATGTATTCTCTCTGCTGCTTTTCTGATAAGTCCTACTCGTATGTGTCAGGATCCTTGATAACCTTCCTCTGGTAGTTCCGATCGAAAGAGTAGATCAGGGTTCTCCATCTGTTGTTTATCAGCTCGGCTATCATATCGGGCTTAAAGGCCAGTATGTAGGGGTAAGTAGGTTTTGCTGTTGACTCTCCATTTGAAACTTTCTCTTTGGAGCGCATGCATAATAGCTTGATGTCCTAAGCTGCCATTTGAACGTACAGACCAAAGAGCAAAAGTACTTTATCCACAATCACCTTTCATTTACGGTCCGGTATCACAGAGATATGCAAACTGATGCTGCAAGAATTGTGGGGTTTGAGGTCAATCCATTCAGGTGAAACTTCTGTAGACCGTATTTTGTATGCTATTTCATATTTCCTGTGGTCAAGTACCGATAGCCCTTTATTTTCTATACAGTGTCAAGCATGAATATGAAGGACAGTGGAGCCAGAAGACACGTCTTACTACTTGTGATCCACACACCAAACGCCTGGTTGTTAGCTCAGCTACCCCTCAAGAAGTTGAAGAGAAGAAGGAGATTATCTTCACATATGATGTAGATTTCCAGGCAAGTTATTGATTACGCTCTCCTATTCACTTCAGATAGGTTTTCATTCCTGTTCTCATCGTTTTATCGACTTCTGGCTGCTTCCTCTGCAGGAAAGTGAAGTGAAGTGGGCATCTAGATGGGATGCTTATCTTCTGATGAGCGATAACCAAATCCACTGGTTTTCTATCGTCAACTCCTTGATGATCGTCCTCTTCCTCTCGGGTATGGTAGCGATGATAATGCTGAGGACCCTTTACCGCGATATCTCAAGGTACAATGAGCTTGAAACTCAAGAGGAAGCTCAAGAAGAGACAGGATGGAAGCTTGTCCATGGTGACTGTTTCCGGCCTCCGACCAACTCAGATCTGCTCTGCGTCTATGTGGGGACGGGTGTCCAATGTTTCGGCATGGTTCTCGTCACCATGATATTTGCGATGCTCGGGTTTCTGTCTCCGTCCAACCGAGGCGGTCTGATGACAGCCATGCTCCTTCTCTGGGTCTTCATGGGTCTATTTGCGGGCTATGCCTCCTCTCGTCTCTACAAAATGTTCAAAGGAACGGAGTGGAAGAAAATCGCCTTCAGGACAGCGTTCATGTTCCCAGCAGTCGTCTCGGCCGTCTTCTTTGTCCTAAACACCCTAATCTGGGGACAGAAGTCGTCAGGGGCGGTACCCTTCGGGACAATGTTCGCTCTGATCTTCCTCTGGTTCGGGATCTCGGTCCCGCTTGTCTTTGTGGGGAGTTACCTGGGGTTCAAGAAACCAGCCATCGAGGATCCCGTGAAGACGAACAAAATCCCGAGGCAAATCCCGGAGCAGGCTTGGTACATGAACCCCATCTTCTCGATACTCATAGGAGGGATCCTACCGTTCGGGGCAGTATTCATCGAGCTATTCTTCATCCTGACGTCGATATGGCTGAACCAATTCTACTACATATTCGGATTCCTATTCGTCGTGTTCGTGATCCTCATCGTGACATGCGCCGAGATAGCAATCGTTCTATGTTACTTCCAGCTTTGCAGTGAGGATTATCTGTGGTGGTGGAGGTCTTACTTGACTTCTGGCTCATCGGCTCTATACCTCTTCCTATACGCAGCGTTTTACTTCTTCACGAAGCTTCAGATCACGAAGCTCGTATCGGCTTTGCTTTACTTCGGGTATATGCTGATTGCGTCTTACGCCTTCTTCGTGCTTACGGGTACTATTGGATTCTACGCTTGTCTCTGGTTCACGAGGCTTATCTACTCTTCGGTTAAGATCGATTGATTCTTTTTCTCTCTCTCGGGTTTTTTGTGGGAGTACATGATGATGATGATGATGATGATGATGATGATGATGATGATGCAAAAGGTGATGTAGTTATGTTCCAGTTTAAACTCGTTGTTTTGGGTAACAGTAATGTCAGTAAAGCAGTGGGGGGGGACAAACCTGAACCATTTTTATAGTGTATTATTATTATTATTATTATTATTATTATTATTATTTGCACATCGTCAGACACGCCTCTTCAGAATTTGTTTGGAGTATTTTGATTTAGTGATTCCGGCATCTCGCTGGTCGGATTTGCGTTTAACGAATAGTTATTTATTATTATTATTATTTGTACGGTTCAAATTTAAAATGCGGCGGATTTACGCAATTGTTGAGATAAGCAGATTGCCAAATGATAAGACAAGCAATAGTTGGTGAGTTCTTTTATTCTATTTTATAGCAAAAAGTTATTACAAATCTAAATATTATGGGACAAAAATTCTATCCTATAGCTTAAATACGAATTACGAACAATAAAATTGCATATGAGATACAAAATGACTGTTTTTATGTATCTGCTTCCTCTGAACCTTTCAGTAATGCAAAATGACTGTTGAAACAAAAAACAAAAAACGGGAATATATAGTATGAACGATTTAAATGCAAGCGCATTGTACCAATCGAATTATTATTTTTACGTAGAATTGCGTTCCCTTTTCTGCTCACATACATGTACTAATTATTAATTAATTTCATGTAAGTATTAAATACTAAAAGAAAAGGAACAAACATTAAGCAAATTTTTATGTATTTACTATTTAGTATTTTTATTTTAATATTTAACTTTGTAAAAATATGGGCCCAAAAAAACCATTAACTATTCTACTTTCATAAAAAAAAACTTCTATTTAAAATTGTTTAAAAACAATCTTTCACTTTAAATTTGTAATAAAAAAACAGAAAGTTTTAATTTTTAATAAAAAATTCATTCAACTATCTAATTATTTTAAAAAAAAAAATCTATTGTAATTTTGTTAAAAAAACTCTATAAAATTTGGATAAAAAACATTTATAAAATTATGCAATTCTAAAAATCATAAAATATTTATTTAAATATATCATATTATAATGTTTAGAATTTATATAAATATAACCTTTTATAGAATTAATTTGTATACAAATATTATACTTAAAAGTAAGTATATTTTTTTGATTGTAAATATTATATTATTATTTTTTTCATATATTAATATTTGAGATATTATAAAATATCAATTTGGCTGTTTATAAAAAATTAGTAACTAAAATATTGTATAGTGTATAATTACATATACATTAATTATATAATGGAATATATTTTCTAGTGAAATAAAAATACTATTTATATATGTAATGCTGTATAACAAATTTTCATTTGTAAAATAGAAAATTTTAATAAGATATAGATTTGATTTTTAAAATATATAGATTTCTATATTTATAATCAATAAAATATAGTTAATTTTAATTATAAAATTTTATACAAATTGATTATATAAAGGATGATATTTATAAATATTTATATAAAGTTTAAATATTACAATATGATCCATTTAAATAAATATTATGTTTTTAATGTGATTTTTAGAATTATATAATTTTTATATATTTTTATTCAAATTTTATTGATTTTTATAATAAAACTAAAATAGAGTATTTTTAAATAATTTAGATTTGATGAATTTGTTTTATTAAAAATAATATTTGATAATTTTTATAATAAATTTAGAATGATATATTTTTTTAAATAATTTATATAGTTGATGTTTTTTTACTCAAAAGTAATAATTTATGATTTATTATATAAAAATAAATAAAATATTTTTTGTAAATGAAGTAGTTAATGATGTTTTTGTGGGTTTGTCTCTACAATTATTAAAAAAGCACTACTATTTTGATTAATAATGGGAATTGGTAGAGGAATCCAGAAGTACGACGTCGTGTCAAAATCAGCCTGCATATTACCAGTTTACCCCTATATTCCGTGCTGAGTTTACCGGCATACTCTTCCTGAAAAGGTTTTTAGCTTTGATCTTGGTCAGCCCCCAGAGCTTCGCTGCTGAAGTCGACCGAGCCAAGCCCGAAGATGGTAATCGGTTTCTCTTTTCTTCGATTTTTTACGCAATTCTAGGGTTTTCATAATCGATCATGCAAAACCCCTGAACCTTTTTGGTTCCATCGACCTCGATTTCGCCTGCGTTCTCTTAGAAACTAGGGTTTCGATGAGCTACGACGCCTGCGAATGGGATTGATACTCGATTGCGTTGGAACCTTTTCCGACGTTCAAGTTATCTATCAATATTGGTTTTTCTACAAATGGAATCGAGAGGTAAAAGGGGAAAATTTGAGGACTCCGTTGGATTATCATGTGGTTGATTGATGATTCCTCTACTATTCTCTCGAGTCAGTCCGTGAATTTGTTTTTCCAGTTAATGCTCTTACGCATGATTTATTCAATAAGTTTTAATCCAGTTTGGGTTGATTTTATTGCATTAGATTTTTCATGAGGTTGGCTCGGTGTGTGTTGCTTCTGGTAAGCTGATTGTGCAGAGAATAATCTTTGTTATAATAGGCTAATACGAACAGTAGGCACACTATCATCTTGATGCAAACCTCTCCCAGTAGAGCGACGAGGACATTTATGGACTACGAGTCCATTAGCCAAGCTATGGATGGTAACTACGAGATTCCCGTTATCATTCTATTGTCATTTTGTTCATTTTTTGCTTGGATTTGGTCATGATGGGGTTTACATGATGCATGATTGGATGCATATGAATGAATGAAGACTGCCTTTTAAGTTAATTGTGGTTAGGGAGGAAAAAAGACGGTGGTCGTTTTCACTTTCGCCGTCCCAATCGTTCTGCACGGCTGATGCGGCGGCGCGTCGACCACAAACGCCGATGACAGCTCCATCTGGCATACCCTAACGGCTCCGATCAGTCTCTCTGGCAGCTCCTCCTCCGTCTGCGACTCCGCAAGGAACCCCATGTCGATCGTCACGCTCGTCACGTACCCTAAAGCAAGACGAAGAATCGCTGTTGCGATCGCCGAGCTGCTAATGTCGACGTCGATCTCCAGGCAGCAGGAAGTTTTCCTTAAAGCTTAGGAACTCTGTTTTGATTTTAAAGGCAAGGAGGACAGTTTTTCCGTTCAATTCTCCTGCCGATACGATTTTTAGCTGCCCGTACATCTGAATACACTTTGGGCATTGTATATTCAGGCCCTGATATTTTTTTACTGTACAATGATTTGGCTGGATTGAGCAGGCATCTGTGGTTTGTATGAAAGAAAGCTCAAGGAAATAAACCCAGCCCTGAGAAATATCACCTATGACATTGCAGATCTGTACAATTTTATTGACGGTCTGGCTGACATGAGTGCCTTGGTGTAAGTCATTCTTTCCCTCACACTTTTTGTTCGTACTTGTTATTTCTTCACCTTCTTCCCCATATTTTTGCTTATGTCTATGCCTATATCGTTGCTCAAAATTCTTTCTAACACCCAGCAATGGTCAAATTGCTGGCCTCCTTTTTACCTGTATGGGTGCATGTAATCACTAGACTAGAATCACGATTATTCACTGGTCCTACGCATAGAAAACCTGAGCTGTGGGAAGGTGGTTTCTGTTACTGTCGAATGGCTTGTGTTCTCGCTTATGTTTTGCTAGTTGGTAACTGAAGTGTCTCGATGTGAAACCCCAAACATGCATCCAATATACACAATTAGTTGTTTCTTTCAACCAGAATGAAAGTCCTGACTTTTCAACAAAGCTTCCAAGCAAATATTTTTATCGTTTTCGCATATGTCAGACATGTATTTTATGCTATTAAGTTCGTGGTTACCATGATGCATCATGCATGCTGAAAGCTCGATACTTTTCTCAATCTACTGCATTTTTCCATTTCATATATCATTAGGGTATTATCCTTTGACCATCCTCAATTTCTTTTTGTGTGAACTCAATTGAGATTTCTCAGTTGCGACTTGCGAGACTAACAAATTGGCAATGCCTAAGCCATTTTGTTGTCAGCAAGTTATTTGCTACTGAAACTTCTGGTGAAAAGCTGAAACTTTTTCTTGAAACATTTTGATAGTTAACAGTGTGCCTGGTCTCGCAGCTATGATCACTCGCGCCAAGCGTATCTGCCTTACGACAGGCAGTGGATCAAGCAGAAGACGTTTCACCATCTCAAGAGACTTGCAAATGGACCTCGTTAGACACAATCAAATGGCCAATTCTCTCTGTTGGAATTGGAAACCACCAATATATATATATTGTAAGTGAGAACATGTCATGTCTGGTTAGAGTTTTATTCAAAGTTAAAAACTTTGTTGAGCTCTTGTTAATTTTCCTATGTAACAGAGAAAAATCATGACAGCAAACCTGTGTGTAATGTATTGTCGTCGTGGGAGGTGTTAACTATGGTGCTTTTTTAACGTTGATTACATCATGCCCTTATAACAGAAGAGGGTCCAAGTGTAAAGGAGAAAAAAGAACAGGGTTTTGCTATCTGCTATCAAGGGAATGAATGAGAGAAGCCAATTCTATTCTCTGTTCCCCTCCTCCCTTTAAACCTTGTATTTGTTCTTCATCTGCTTCTTCTTCTTGTTCACCTAATACCTCATGTGGAAGCCGAAATGATATTTCATCTCCCTTAGGTTCCCAAACTCGTCCTTGCAAACTTCGGAAAGTGTAATAAAACTCTTCCAAGCCAAGATGATGTCACGAGCCCTGCATTGTTTGTCTATGGACATTAACATTGCGAGAAATGTTCCTTCGAGCCCGTAGGGACAAAGCTTTGAACAAGAAGGGGCATCCATTTCAACCGCACAATCATCTGAGAGACGATCTCGTCGACCGCTATGAAGAGGTAATCTGGTAATCCGAACGTTAGATTAAGGCGTGGAACAAGAATCAGATCGAACCATATATATGTGTATATATATATGTGTATATATATGGTGTGTGTGTGTGTGTAAGATATAAAAGAAAAGAGTGAAAGCTGGGAAAAAATATGTCACAGTGCAATAATACACCATACTATGACTAAATAATTATGATGAACAATGTTATCATAATGGAAGTGAGTGTAGGTTCAGGGGTTTAGAAGCTACAACAAATCACCAATTTAAAAAGTAATAGAAGTGGTATTCATGGCCAGCATGAGAAGGCATTTTCATGAACAAAATCCCTTGTGCCTTATCTCACAATTTCCATCAAGAGAAAACGGATCATATCAATGGAAAGTGATTCCTCCGCCCGAGTGTTCAACCTCCTGAAAATCACAGTTAAGACGCGACATGTAATCATATACAAAAAAGGGAGGTTTCTGCCAGTGATGATGGATAATTTACATATGGAAACAAATCACTAACACAGATATAGACTATAGCATCATCCCACCAGCTCTTGACTTTGAAAGTGAAGATATGAATTGAGGGTTTGAGGAAATAGTAATACCAACCTGAGGAGGAGGTAGAGAAGAAACCCAGTCTGATGCATGCGTTGGGAGAAGTCCCAGAGAGTTAAGCTGCAAATCCAAATAAGATGTGCTTATGTAAAGACACAGGAATTCGTGGTTTACATGGCTGCGTGGCCTTAATGATATGGGAAGAAAGAGCAAACAAGAAAAGGAGAACTGTCTCTCACCTTCCAGATACCCAAAGCTAATCCTCCAAGATTAAGGGCGATAAAAACTAATTTTGGCATAAGCAACTCCACCTTATTATCCTTATATGGCTCAAAAACTGCAAACAAGAGTAGGGGTTACATGGAAAGTCAAAGATATTGTTTCACAGTTATCGAACTGACATTAGAACTAAAAACTTTCACATGGGTGCGATGAAGAGATGATTTGCAAAGAGAAAAACCCTACCAGTTGAGTATAACTAACACTCTATTTCTTGCCAGCATGAAAAAAAGGAGGATGGGTTCATTTAAAAGCTTACAATTACTTAACTAAGATCCTTGAGAAGTATTTCTTCTCTCTCAATGATCCTAATTGTTTCCAATTCAGCTCTGCAGTATGACCAAGTAAAAGTACGGTCTAATATTATGGTTTTCCACAAAACGTTTTCTAATCTAAATCAACCCATCGTCTTCTCCGTCTGCAATTCCACTGAAGTAGAATGTATGCTTGAACAAAACAAGAACGACTTCACCATGTTATGATGACGTTTTATGGCATGTGATGATGGTAGGAACTGGCTATTCCATGTGAAGCAAGGTAGCCAAAGGAACGAAGAAGCTTATGCATCAATCACGAATGGTTGGTTTAATCCTTTCAGCGATCACACATAGTCTACACTTCACTAGCTCTTACAGTTTCACATTTAGGTAAAGATTAGTTCATCAAACTACCTACCAACATATAAAGTCAATACAACAATGCACTATTAAAAGCTGAGAATTCAAAACATGAGGCAAAGATGAAGGGATGGACAAAGCATGGAAGGTGCTTACTCTTTCCGACGCTTTGGAGGGCACTGATAGGCTGCCAAAGAGCTGAGAATGTGATACCGATGCTGAACAGATGCACCGTGCTCCCAGCCATCCACATCATGAAACCCATCATCATCAAATTCCTCAGCGGAGATTGCGCCACCTCCCACGCTTTCTATTCATTCACCCAGATATCGTATCACTACCCCATAGACATTACCAGTGGAAGCATGAGTTTTTTGTTCTTAAATCTTACTGAATTACAGATAGAGAATCCAGTCTAACCTAAATTCCACAATAATCAGAAACCATGGAAGCGAAATACGTCGAAGTTCTAAGTGACAGAACAAAGACCGATTGCGTACAAATCAAGATAAAATTTGCAAGTTAATATTATACCTGAAGCTTCCAATTAGCTTCAGCGTCTTTCTTTTGGCGGCTGGACGCCGAATCATCCTGAAAATCAGATCAACAACGATAACCCAGAAAAAAAAAACAGTAAGACACAAAACGATTCAGGACAATTGGAGCCGGAAATCGAATTCAATCGACAATAGCATGAGCGGAATTGCGTGAATGAACTCCGATAGAATCCGATAAGATAAGAGGAAAACCTGTTCGGGAGAAGCACGAGAGAAGCCAGGAGGATCGAGGATGTCGCGGGAAGATGGAACAGTGGAGTGATCGGTGAAATCGATGGCCCATCTCCGACCAGAACCCATCACAGCCTTGCCTTTGTCCATGGGGTTGTTGTTCTCCGATTGACGAACAGATCAAGAATCGACGAAACCCGGATCTTCTACGTCTCGGCTGTTCCTCCTCAGGTTTGAACTTGAGAAACAAAAACTTGAAAGGCAGCAGCTCCGAACCCGTTTTCTCGAACCGGGTTCAGACTCGGGTCGGTTCTTATTCGGATGCCCGAAAATTTTGATGATTTATAAAATTAAGGCCCATTATGGCCCAATGGGCCGATGTTAACTTGATTACAAGGCGAGACACTATCAGATTTTTATATAACTACAATACAGCTATGCTACGATATTATTATTATTTATTACGATACGCTAACATAGGGTGGTGGTGAATGGTGATACCGATTACCGAATATAGGGTTTATCTCAATGGAGGAGTGGAAGTAGATCTGAACGCGACCGGGATTTTGTACGCGTTCAAGGGATCGCGGGCGTATTTAGCGTTTGCGGCGAACAGGGACGAAAGTAGCGTCGCGATATTCGGGAACGTGCAGCAGCAAACGCTGGGAGTGGTTTTTAAAATGTTTGGAGGCCTACCTAACGCTATTCCATTGAAAAGCCCAATGGGCCCTTTTGGATGAAACGTACACCATATCGGAGCTCTGTATGAAATCGGCCGACTGCTTTACTACAAATAAATTATTTAATTTTTTAAATTTCAAAAAGGTACTCATAGATACTTTTTCTAAAAGAAATTTACATATGTTTCCATCAGTTGCTTGTTGCGTCTTCCATCAAGAAAGGAAATCTATTTCGCCCGATTTAGTGTAAGCCATCAAACTCTTCACGAAAATGAATACCACCAAAAAAGATGAGATGAAAAAGAAGAAGGTCTACAATCTGGGTTTCAATACTCTTTCACTAGTTTATGATTATACATAGTGCTTCAGATTCACGAGCTTTGAATCCAGAGAGAAATCAATGGAAATTATGAATGAGCATTGACCTGTTTCCCTTCGATCCCCTCTCAATCCTCCTCCTCGTCGTGGTTCACTTTCGCCGTCCCAATCGTTCTGCACGGCTGATGCGGCGGCGCGTCGACCACAAACGCCGATGACAGCTCCATCTGGCATACCCTAACGGCTCCGATCAGTCTCTCTGGCAGCTCCTCCTCCGTCTGCGACTCCGCAAGGAACCCCATGTCGATCGTCACGCTCGTCACGTACCCTAAAGCAAGACGAAGAATCGCTGTTGCGATCGCCGAGCTGCTAATGTCGACGTCGATCTCCAGGTAATTCGGTCCTCTGTGATAATTGCACGTCAAGGCCTTGCCTAGGAGGCACGCGCTGTAATTTCCCACCGCCGTTTTCACGGCCCACGGCCCCTTCACGATCCGATTGACGATTTTGAATCTCTGGTTCCGGAACGCGTCGTCTCCGGTGATGAATCGGTGGAGGAGCGAACCCGAGGGGAGCGGATCCTCCGTCGCAAAGTAGAACACCGCACTGTAGTGATCCTTCCCAGGGACCTGGAGATTGACAGCGAAGATGAAGCTCTTCATGGATTGGCCTCGGGACTGGGCTTTCCTGAGCGCGTGAGCTACACGGTTATCGGGACGAGCAAGAACGTTGTCGAGTTTGGTGGTGGATTTGAGCCAGTCAACGCCGGCGGGAGAGAGAAGGTAGTCTCCGGCGGGAGATTTCTGCTTTTTGGCCATGTAGGTCCTGGAGCGGAGAGAGAAAACATCACCTGGAGGCGAAGACCAGCCGTTGGTTCCGGTGTGGAGGTCGACGCGGCGGAGAGATCCGCCGTTTGTCGCCTCGGCGATCCATTCTGGCACAGAGGCGGTGGAGGTCGAACCGGATCTCTCCGGCTTCGTCTTCTTCTCTCCGGCGGAGCTGCGGTGTCTCTGCTTCTTAGGGCTCATGGCTTGGTCGGCGATCTCTCTCGATTTGTTGAAATTGAAAATACCCTCGGGGTTCTGATGGAATTACGAGAGGGCCCTTCTCTTATCTGGGATTCATGTGCTATTTTCCATTAAACACCAACAGACCACGAGATTATTGAATTTAATTGATGTTTTAGCAAATTATATTGTTTTTCCTCCTACCCTTTAAGACATAAAGATTATATTCTAATAACAGAAATATCATAATAAAATCTTTTTAATGGTCAATAATTATGTGATGTAGTTAAATATATTGAAATTATGCTACACCCACGTGTAAACCTACTAACCATAATTATTGCCGTGACACGCACCAACGACATTATTCTCGTAATCTTATGTTCATTTAAATCAGTTCATTATATAAAAAAAACACGTAAACACGGGAAATTAGATAGTTGGTATATCATATGTATATAAATACAAAAAAAACATACTTTTTTAATTCGATTTTGCTTTTCACACCAAATGTAATGCAGCGCGTAACGAAAGCAGAGAAGGATCCGACCTGTCGTTATATTCGAAAATGACCTTTCCAAAATTAATAAAGAATTTATGACGATTTACAAGATAAGACAATCAAGTAAATATTTTTGCACAATTTAGTAAGTATAAAGTTTCCAAAAATTAAAATTCAATATATAGCGAGTATATAAATAATTTAATCTAAATAAATTTACACTATAACCATAATTTCGGTTGTTGAATAACAATTAAAAAAGAAAATAGGAGCTTGGTTTCAAAACCATTCAGTTTAAATGCTTTTGACTATGGAAAACAAAACTTGGTGAGAAATAGCCAAGGGAGATAGGGTGGTTTATTCGGATTTCGGTTAGAATTTATCCAACATTTCGGTTTTAACAAATTATAATTAATCAATTTGACAAAATACCCATTTTAAAAAAAGTAAGTATAGTTTTTTTATTATTTTATTTGATTTAGCTCGGATTCGATTTTAGAAGAGAAACGTCTGCCACTGCTTGCAACCCACGTAAAATGTTGTAATAGGGAGCATCTTTTCCTATTATTTATTATTTAAATAAAAATTCTGAACTTTGATTTGGTAAATATCTTTACAATCCCAGATTAGTGTGGATTTTTCTTTCAATCTCAAGTTAGTTGGGATGATCTTTTCGTTATAAGCTAAAACAAAAAATATGTTTGATTTCACACGCACAAAGTGGTACATATGATATATTTAATATTTAAAATTATCCAACAAAAAATATAAATCCATAAATACTGGAAACCAACTGACGTAGTTATTGGTTCATGCACACGTTTAACATTTGCAGAGCCTGAGTTTGTAAGTCTCTAACCATTCTCTTGTCCAGAAATGAGTTAGAGTTCATAGAAAATTACATACTTTGATTGGGTGGAGAAAATGATGGAGATGTACAGTATTTCCATTTCTTTGCACATAAACACAAAATTCGTTCCAAAAAAAAAAATGGTCGGAGCGGTTGAAGATGCCTCGTCGAAAACCGTGCCTGAAGACTAGAGATGTTGTTGTAGTTGCTGGTCATGAAACTATTGAAGTCATTCAGAGGTTGAACTCAGAATTATAAAGCCAGTTGTTGTTCGCCCGGTGGGATCCGAAACTCGTCGGTGGGACAAAGTCTAGAGCATAGTTGTTGTAAGAGCACGGAGCATAAGGAGAGCCGACGTAGTTGAAGGACGCGAGATTCTCATCCGACGACATAAATGCCGAAAACAGGGGGCTCCCTTGGAGGTCCGATGGAAGAACCATGTCTGGAAAATAAGAGGTAATCACAGGTTCTTGATGTTCTTGATCCGGGCAAATGTTTATGCTTTGATCGCAGTTGTTGATGTAAGAAAACGGAACAGAACAACCCACGCTGTTGAAACTCTCATCCGACAATGCAAATGTCGAAAGCTGGGGCGGAAGAACCATGTCTTGGACATCGGAGATGATCAGAGGTTCTTGATATTCTTGATCCGGGCAAATGTGGATCGCAGGTTCTTGATTTTCTTGATCGCGACAGAGGTTTCTGCTTTGGTTTTCCTCGGCAGGCTTCTTCTGTTTTTGCGTTCCCAGAAACCGAAGCCTCTCCTGAAGGGTCTTCATCTCGCGTCCCAAAGCATCCCCGAGCTCCGACAATTTTTCAGCGGACAAAGCATGGAGCTTTTGGGTATTGAGTTCGAAACCCTTCTCTGTCTTCGTTTTTGGTAAACAACCCTTCTCTGCCTTCCCCCGAAGTTCGGACAAATTCAGGGATTTCTTTCGTTTCTTGGTGTCGTTCTGTTTCATGTAATTGACGGCCAATTCTCTCACCTTGGACAAATCTCTGGGCCATGTCTGAAGCTCTCCGTCTGGTCCGTAACAGATAACGGCCACTTGGGTTCCGCAGAGAGTCGAGAGTTCTTCGGCCTTCTTCATCACCGTCAGCTGTCTCCTTTGGAAACTCGACTTCTTCCTCTGATCGTTCGACGGAGGCGGAGAAGAGACAGAGGAGCTCGTCTTTCTCTTCCTTGAAGATGAAATTGAGGAGGGAGAAGAAGCCATCCTGGAGAGAGAGACTGAGTTGCGATTCTTTCGGAAGAAAAACTATGAGATCGGAGTCAGAGCGATAGCGATGAAGAGAGTGAAGTAGGGAGGGAAGTAGAGAAATGGCAACTGTGAAGACTTACGTGTATATATATATGTGTATCGTCAGTAAATCAGTTGTTTAGAAGGAAAAAAGGAAAATTAGAAAACGCGTTTAAGCTATTTTTTTTTACAGCTGGAGTTTTTTTTTGTGTGAGTTATAAATTTGAAATCCTAAATTCACAGAAAAGGAAAAAAAAGGGGATGAAGACCCTTGAAGCCAAAAAAAACCGAACCCTAAAGATTCGACGAAAGCCATTTTTTCCGTATATTTTATCTCAGGATCGGAATGATGTAGCAATTGAAGCGATGATGTGTTTACATCAGAAGCCCAAAATGGTGGAACCAGGTGGGTTACGAAGTCGAATTGGGATTTCAACGAAGCTAACATTTGGAGCCGTTGAAGGAAGGTTAGTTCTTAGTTCAGATTATGTTTCTCATTTATGCAGAGATTTGTCTCCGTCGGATCCTTGACAATGAAATCGATGATCTTACGAATTTTAAGATACGCACCGATTCCTGATCGTAGTTTCATTCTCTCAAGTGCCAGCACTATATTTGTTTTAGGTGTAATGCATTGTGAAAAATTAATACAGAACCTCGCGCTTGGGTTGAATGGAATTCTGCTGAGATGATAATTGTGTAAGATGAGGTCAAATTCGATTGTCTGCTCATGTTTGGAGAGTAAAGAAATAGCAGGAACTTAGTTGTCCTAAGGTAGATAAAGAAATATCAAGGTCTGCCCATGTTTAGATCCAATGCAGAGTTAAGAAATAGTATATTCCGCGTTGGGCTTAACTCTTGAATTCTTGTGAATTTTGATTTATACTCGTGTGGAGGAGAATAGTGGAGAAACTGGTAGGTGATGAGAAAAACCTTCTTTCACTTTCTTTGAGAGCAGGATAGCTATTCACAGGGCTCTACCACCTCTGAATAATGTGCTCACACACAATCTTGTGATGATCGAGAGTTTTAGTAGCCAAACCATGCGCTTGAGCGTGAAAGTGGCTAGGAAAAGGGCTGTTTGCTCAATACGTTTTTCGTGGGAAAAGCAATCCTTGTGGTCGTGGAATGCTTGATATGGTATGGTGCTAAAATATGGTCTGGGCATTTGATGAGGGTAATCGTTCTGTCAAAACTTGCTTTGAAAATGGGTTGGTGTTAGCTTTCTTTCTCTATTTCCTGGGAAAGGCTCTGTTCTTCAGTGGGCGGCCACACTAGCGGGTTAACGAGTTTTTGAGTGAGGTAGAATCAGAATATCTGGTAGCATAATTTTGCGTTGAAGTGTACGGACATTTGAAAACCTACTGAATACTTCATTTCAGATTACCATCTTCTTGCTTGCAAGTAGAAGTTGTTTGTATTTGTTTTCCCCAAATCGATTCTCATTCTGTGTCCTTGATCTTTCTCTTTTCAGTTTTTTCTGCTATGATTCAGCATTGGTGGTTTAAATTGAAGCCCTTTTACTATCAGCACATTCCAAACCGATGACAGTGAAGGTACAACCTTTTGAACCAGAACATTGTTGAACCATCGTTTCTCGTCATTTGCACTAAGAAACAGACTGCAACTGCACGTGTGGACGATACATATTATCAACCCGCTCAACTAAACCCACCGCTGCGCTTTAACAATGGAGATCCTGAAGATGAGAACCGAGGCAAACCAATTGGTAAGGCTTCGTTCGTTCGGGACCTTGTCTTATCTCACGGCTTAAACTGCAATAATCTGCCATTGGGTTTTGTAATCTTGATACTTCTTTACTTTTATAACTTCGTCGTTGACTTGTGCAATTTCAATGTAGTTGTTTGTTGTAATCCTTGCTGTGAGAGGTAGCATGTATTAGATTGTAAGAGAAAACATACAATTTCATATACATATATATATATTCACGCATGTGTGTGTGTGCTTGTACACGTGTAAATATCACTAACCGACCACCAAAAGAAACCGAAAGTAATGTCTTATTCAGCAATTACTTAAGTGTGACCATTTAGTATTTGTGTTCAAACAAATGCAAATTTGCATTTAAATGTAGAATATAGGTATTTATACGATTCCCCAAATGTTAGACATGGTTATTTATACAAGACACATTTTAAATTTTAAACCACCTTAAATCCACATTAATGATCTAAACGGCCATATATTCTAAAATAGGAAAACATGACATGTTTGGCGATTTTTCAGGTTGTTGGATCTACTCAAACAATTGCGGTCAAATATAAAAAAAAATGTTTTTATTTTAGGATTATTGGACTTTTATTTTTTCTTATGATTATTTATTAGTTCTTAGTTTAAGATTTCTATATAGATGTAGAGTCGTCAAATTATAACTAAGTACTGAATATGAACCTAAATTGGAGCCGAATAGTCGAATAAACCGTGGTCCGTCGTCTGTAAGAATGCCACGTGTGTGGGGTTAGTATAATTCCCGTGTTGAGTCGTTTCTATTGTTAGCGACTGGCGAGAGAGACGCCATTGTCCCCGGCATTGTCGCCGGAAGTTTCTGTCTCCTTTCTTTTCTTCTTTTTTAGTTTCTCAACCGTAAAATTCTCTTCGATTTCTCTTCTTCCCTCTCCCTCTCGACCTCTCTCTCTCCAGAATCGTCACTCTTCATCCTCCGTTTTTTTTACGGCGTTTTCAGGTATCTCTGATTGTGTTTTTTTCCTACATCTCTTTAGCTTTGATATCTGTGATGACGACGATCGCGATTGATTGACGTATGTTTCCGAATTCGCGTTTTTTTGAGTTCGATTCTCTTTTCTTCGATTTCAGGATTCTTTTTGAAAGTTTTGGCGCGTGGTTTATGTAGATTGTATCTTATCGGATCGATTTTTTGCTGTTTCGAAGCTTAGTTTTTGAAAATTTTGTGCAAAATATGGGATACCTGGACTTGGCGTTGCGATACACAAGCCAGATGCGGATTGCTGACACCCCGGCAAGCGGAGGGGGTCTCAGGTATTAATTCATCTACAGTTGATCCGCCTGATTTTTGTGTATCATCTGAATTTTGGCGTGCGTTTGGAATTCTTGGTTGTCCATCACAGAAGCTTGGTTTCTTAGCTAGATGTTTGATTCCATTTCATGATTGATTCTTTTGATTCTCGAATTTAGGAATTATGATTTATGGATAGTGATTTTTCTTGCCCGGTTTGCTCTGACAAATGCGATGAGATCTCAGGAATTGCTTTGATTTGTCTCCTGGTTGATATCTGTGTTTGATTTTTTATTCTCTTTTTCTTCTTTTTTTTTTGTGCGTTTAAGATTACTTGAACCAAAAGCCATGTGAACTGTTTTGCATGATCCATTTCATGATTTATTCTGATTGTTCTTTCTTTTTGGTTAATTCTTCCAAGTATCCTGTTTGCTACAAGAAATGTGATCGTTTTTGTTTAATGTTTGAGCTTGGACACAACACACAAAGTTATGACTTTTTGTAACCATAATTCAACTGCAGCCAGAATGGAAAATTCAGTTATGGATATGCAAGTTCTGCTGGGAAGAGATCATCAATGGAAGACTTTTACGAGACAAGGATCGATGGAGTTGACGGAAAAATTGTTGGACTATTTGGAGTTTTTGATGGTATGCTCGCCGGCATTGTCTCTCCTTTCTAGCAAAGAGTAACTTGGACACTAGGAAGCACTCAAACACATGTTTTATCGGGGTTAGATGGTTCTATGAACGAACTAATGGCCTATATTGTTCTTATTGGCCTATCTCCAGGCATAGATGATCATTTACTTCCTGCAATTGGCTTATACATTAGGTTTGTATTAGAACATGACCTACTTAATCATATGTTAATAAACATTTTTCAGGTCATGGCGGAGCTAGAGCAGCTGAATACGTGAAGCAAAATCTTTTCAGTAATCTGATTAGCCATCCAAAGTTTATATCTGACACCAAATCGGCTATAGGTTTGCCATTGTTAACCTGAATGAACTCCTTTTGACAATTCTTTACCAATGTATCCATTCTCACGTGCTTCATGTTTCTTTTCTCTTCAGCGGATGCATACAACCACACAGACTCAGAACTTCTGAAGTCAGAAAATACTCAAAGTAGAGATGCTGGTTCAACTGCATCCACAGCCATACTTGTTGGTGATCGTTTACTCGTTGCAAATGTTGGGGACTCCAGAGCTGTTATCTGCAGGGGCGGCAACGGTAATTCTTATCAAGATCTGTTCATGTTGTCGAATTCCATTAGAATAAGGACTTAGCTTATACTTATACTGGTTGGCCTAGTTAGGATGCTCGCCATTGGAGTCTTGTGATCCTTATCCCACTTGATAAGAGTTCGATCCCTTCTAATCTTCAAGTCATTTGTTGCAAATTCGATAGAACTCAACTGTTGAAGTAAATCCGTATGGGCAGGAACCATTGAATCTGTGAGCCATGAACCAATCCATACAGATCCCAACAGATTACCGTTATGTTTTCTTAAGGTTGTCTAAACACTCTAGTCATTATGTGGTGTTTAATTAAAGGACTCACTTTGCAGCCATTGCTGTGTCAAGGGACCACAAACCTGACCAAACTGATGAGCGTGAACGAATTGAGAATGCTGGTGGGTTTGTAATGTGGGCAGGTAACAAGAGTTGCACGACCTTCTTCTCTTATCTATCCTTTTCTTTCTTCTTGCAAGTTTCTAATACCTTTATGTGTCTGTGAACCATTATGCCGTTGATTGAATAGGAACTTGGAGAGTTGGTGGTGTTCTTGCAGTTTCTCGTGCTTTTGGTGATCGGCTACTGAAGCAGTATGTTGTGGCTGATCCAGAAATTAAGGTACATCATCAATTGGATTGTATCTGATGCACATTTATTATATCAACAGCACTATGTTGTGTTTTATCCATAAAACTAGGAATATACATCGTCTAGGAATATACATCATCGTGAAATCCAAATCTAACCCCTGTCAGAACAATATAATTACTACTATTATGTCGTGACTGATCCAAAAATCCGGGGATCATCATTATTTGAATAAAAATGGTGTGTGTATCATCATCTAGGTTTCTTCCACACATCTGGTTTTTGACATTATTTCTTCAATGTGAAATATTTTTGAACCCTTCTGTCTCTGTAATGCATAAACCGCAGGAAGAGAAGATTGATAGTTCTCTTGAGTTTCTGATCCTTGCAAGTGACGGGCTGTGGGATGTGGTGTCTAATGAGGTCCGTAACTTCTAACGTCTCTTGTTTACTCGCCCTTGTTTTCATATCACATATTATCCCTTACTGATATTATTAGAGCTTGATTCCTGTCCTGATTTCATAACCTGTATGAGCTTTAAGTTCTCTTTTTCAACTTTGAAATTTTCATATCAAATTGGTATATGTGGATGTAAGTATTTTCCTGCAGTCATTCTCGGAAAAACAAGGAAAAATTCCGTGAAAGTGGCACTCTCTTTATCATGTTGCAGGAAGCAGTCTCGATGGTGAAACAGATTGAAGATTCTGAGGAGGCTGCGAAGAAGCTGGTGACAGAAGCAATACAAAGAGGAAGTGCAGATAACATCACGTGTGTTGTCGTCCGTTTCCTCGAGAGTAAAACGGCGAACAACCCAACTTATAGTGCCTCCTCAAGTCACAACAGCTCAGCCACTGAAGCCGATCAAGGGAAGATCGCAGTTCTCAGTAATTCAAACTTCAGTAACTCAGCCAAGGAAACTAAACAAGGGCAGATCCCAGTTCGCAGCGATTCAACCCGCACAATCTCAGCCAAAGAAGGTAATAGTGCAATTGACAGCGACTCAAACCACAGCAACTCGGCCAAAGAAACTAATCAAGGGCAGATCGCAGTTAGCAGCGATTCAAACCGTACAATCACAGCCAAAGAAGGTAATAATCAAGGGCAGATCACAATTCACAGTGATTCAGACCGCGTAATCTCGGCCAAAGAAGGTAATAATCAAGGGAAGATTGCAGTTCTCAGCGATTCAAACCGCAGCAACTCAGCCAAGGAAACTAAACAAGGGCAGATCGCAAACCACAGCGATTCAGACCGCGTAATCTCAGCCAAAGAAGGTAATAATCATGGAAATATCGCAGTTCTCAGCGACTCAAACCGCAGTAACTCAGCCAAGGAAACTAAACAAGGGCAGATCGCAGTTAGCAGCGATTCAAACCGTACAATCACAGCCAAAGAAGGTAATAAAAATAAAGGGCAGATCGCAATTCACAGCGATTCAGACGGCAGAATCTCAGGTAAAGATGCCAATAGTGGGCAGAACGCAGTTCAGAACGTTTCAAACCGCAGCAATGTGGCCAAGGGAGGGAGGAATTTAGTTTTTGGCGAATCCACGAGCGCTACTAACCCGAAGCTGGTCGAAGCTGCGACCAACGCAGCGAATCAAAAGGCGATCACAGATCACAGCGATTCGGAACGCAGGAACACAACCATCTCCACTAATTAAAGAGGCTTCGAGGCCCTTTCGGAAAGACAGGTCCAGATAGTTTGATATATTACCCAGTTTGACTGAAAGAAGCATCAGAATCATATAATGGTTTTGATATTTCCATTCGTTTTGTTTACTTGTGATGAACATAGTGTTAAAAGTATTTGTCTTTGTTTTATTTTGGTTTTCATTCATGTAAATCATTTTTTTTTTCCTTTTACTTAATCATGTATATGTTGGATCCTCCTTTCGCTATGACTGTTGAAAACAAAAAATGTCATGGCGGTTTTTTCTCTCTTGTTTTGGCTATTAAAATGTTTGGAATGAGTGATGTGACTACTTTATGTAACAGTGGTGATATAAATAACTTAAGCTCGATATGGGAATCTGTTATACTTTTCATTGGAAAATACAATAAACTTTATTTGAATTTTTTTCTAACATTAAGTTATCCATAAATAGACTGTATTGAATTATTGCTAAATATGCAATTAATTCCTGTTTGAAATATAAGAAAAAACAATTTGTCCGAGTTTTCTCTGGATATCCATGGAAATCTTCATATATATATATATGATTGGACGGTGGTGGGTCCCAATTCAGACAACTGGGCTAACTATGGGCTATTAGTAGGCCCAATACGTTATCATATAGGCCTATTCTGTAACTAAATGGCCCAAAACGCTTCATATGTGAATTCGGAAAGTATACATGGTTTTCAGGGCTACCCGATCCAACCCAAATACATGGAGTAATTGACAAAATAGAAAAACGTACCAGATCAATAAATGTTTGTGAGCGCATTTAATTGAGAAAAATCAAACTTATTGTGTCTAAATGGTATCTGGTGTAATAAATCAGTTGATATTATTATAAAAACATATAAATTAAACTGTATACTAAAAAACTCTAGAAAAATTAATTTTTTAAAAAAAAAATAAAAAAAAACTGAATCAAAATGCGTATGAATAAATTTTAAAACCAACAAATAAAAATCAACATTAATTTTTGTAATTAAAAAGTCAAACGACAGCAATGAATCGAGACCGAATCAAGCCCTAAATACATAGAAATAGTTGCAGGATATATAGGGTTTTCACATGTTTCTGCGTTTCAACTATGGAAATCCAATGAGTTGCTTGCCACGTGTTTTACCGAACAATTTCATCTATAATTCATGATTAATTTTCTCTTATATTGACACATTCATTATTATTATAATCCATTGAAAATACTACTCCCTCCGTTTCAAAATAATTGTTGTTTTAGAGTACTTCACATTTTTTAAGAAAAGACAGAAAAAGTCACATATACCCTTATTTAATGATAAAAACAATGTTACCATTAATAATTTATTAGAATTTAATAGGGATAAAATTGGAAACTATTGTAAAAAAATGTCTTGAAAATGTAAAATGACAAATATTTTGAAACATGGAAAATAACCTAAAACTATAAATATTTTGAAACGGAGGGAGTATGTCATAAAGATTGTGGAAATTAATCGTTTCTTTTTTTTTTGTTGGGATGTGTCTGAAACCGAGATAATTCTTCTTTTGAAAAAAAAAAGGAGGAAAAGGTAAGCGAATTAATGAGGAGTTTAATGAAAGCATTAAATTGAAGAAACGAGCAGAGTCGGATCGCCGCGGCCACCATAAGAGACAACTCGCTCGCTCTCTGCGGCGAATCTTTCCCTCTCGCCACGTGTCCAAGATGACGTCATCTCTCCCCTTCTCGATTCTCGCAACGTCCGTTTCGCGCCACCTGATAAAGAGATAAAATTGAAAGAAAAAAAAACATAAATGAAGCGTCTCTCTGTGTTTGAAGAGCAATGATCATAATTGTACTCTCCCTGTACTTACTATCTTTACTTTTATTTATTTTTTATTAATTATTTCTCCATTAATTCTGTAAACCTTATATACTTATCAATATATTTATTGATCATTTATTTTTTGTATCCCACTCTATTTTTTTAATCATGTTGTCTCTGTTTATTGAATTAATTCGATGTGTTGTAATTACATAAATATAACTAAAAATTAAAATATGATAGATTAAACTATAAATGCTGAGGCTGTTTTGCGTGAAAACTCTTCATTTATTACACAAATACTCTGTTTTTTTTTTTCCTTTTTTATTTGGAAGAGACAGGAACACAAAATCTGCAATGCTTCTTTCATTTGTTCTCACAGAGATTTTACATTTTCCCGATAGAAAAAAGAGAAAAAAAAACTCTCTGTGATTCAAAACAGATAAATAAAAAAAAAAACACAGCGTTAGAGAAATCGACAAAACTGTGAGCGCAAAAGGGCTCAGTGGTTTTCTTCACCAGAAGACTCCTCTGTTCCTGTCGGCACAAGAACTCCGCTTTCCCTGTTTTGCCCCTCCTTCCCTTCCTTATTTACGATTCCGCCACTCTCCGGCGTTTTGGTCGCAGTCGCGATCGCAACCGGAGTCGCCAAGAACGTGGGCTTCTCCTCCCCTGCCATGATCACCAGAATCTCCTCATCGTAGACCTTCTTTCCCGACACTTTCTCGCCGGAATCTCCCAGCCTGTCGCCGTCGCCGCCGTGATCGGAGAGCCTCCAGTAGGAGCAGGCGAGAAGCAAGAGCGCAAAGGCGATTAGACCCAACATGGCGGCCAAACCGCCGAAGAGATACGGCACCGGAGAAAGCCACAGCGGTCGCGGCTGGGTGGTCGCCGGTGACGGAGCATCTGGGAACGCGGGTCCCCCTGGCTTCGCCATTGTTGTGAACTTGATCGTGTTTGCTTTGATGGGAAACTGCCTCATTGTCTCAGTATCTTTTCTCTGTTGGGATTTATTTTTCTTACTAAAATGAAATTATGATCAGATGATGTGAAATGGCAGAAAAATGCTCGAAAAATGTGAACTTGAGATGCTTGGGGTGGATATGACTCCGAGGGTTAATTTATAGTGGCCAACACACACATATATATATACATGCATATATATATATATATATTTTGTAAATAAATATTTTTAATAATAGGGAAAAAAACTGTCTTTTCAAATTCAGCTTCCTTTATATGTATTTTGCATGATAGGCTCGTTTCGTTGGGGTTAGAGAGACAAGACAACATATACGTTCATGAACGAAGTATAAGCCGAAATTGAAATTTTTGTATAATTATTTATCTCGTTAAATTATTATGTTTAACATTTCTTCCATAATTTTAACAATATCGCATGTGTGTTAGTGCTCTAACAGTTCTTTAAAAAAAAAACCCTTTAAGTGGTAGATCCGATCGAGTCCATTAGGGTTTTAGTAGATGCTTGCATATAAACCCAAAGGAAAACAAAAAGATATATAATATGTATTAGTGTTGGAATTTATATATATATATATATAATGTCACAACTTACAACTCTAACCGATATTGCATAAAAATATCATATTCGGGTAATGGAACTCCAATCATTTAATTTTAAACCTATTACTATTATTATTTTTTTTATTTTTTATAAAAATCGGAATAATAATTGGACCTAGGATATTTGTTTGTTTTTGGGCCCATAAATTTTGTTTCAAGTCTCTCGCAAGGGCCAGAGGAATCCAATTCATGTGGCCGTTAATTAATATTCTAGGTCAGGGCCATAACCGTCTTTCAACATAAATTTGGATTATGATTTTGATTTTAAAATTAACTTTTGGATATTCTCAGTCCAGATATGATTTGGTCGCAACAGTAAAAATGTTATATCTGTTACACTTTTCTCCGTAGTGGGGGAGGTATATATATATATATATATATTTTTTTTCGATTATATATAGTATGAAAAAATATATATTAAGATATTAACAATAGTTATACAACGAAACGAACCATAACAAAATAGAATAAGTGAAAATGAGCATAATGGATAAAGTTGGGGGAAAAAAACATGGTGGCTCCCCCAAATGAAAAAAAAAAATGATACTTCTTTACTCTTTTTTAAATGTTTTCCCTTTTCCTCTTCGTCAAAGTACTTCTCTTAATTTAAATGTAATTCTGCATGGATAGTTGTTATATATATGGATTGTGAATTTACATCATATATTATATGACTAGCGACCCAAAAAATAAACGAATCATACTCGAGAATACTCAGTGAACACGGCATATTGATAGATAATTATTTAGGTATTAGGATAGAGTTTTGAAGGAGTTGATTTTATAATATCTTTTTGAAAATATTCGATGATCAATTGGTATTTTATATAACCATATTTCAAATGATATGATATAATTTACATCACCATGAAAATTCGAAAGGAAATTTCTTACTATATAATAAGTTAAGTAGCATTTGTTTTATAGACCGTGGACAAAATATATGCACCTAACATATTTTAGAATTAATAAATAATCAAGAACCTCTACATTTAAATTCAAACACCTTAATTTCTATATAGAGCATTACCGGCTTTAATAATATATTTCATTCTATTTATCTCATTTTATTTATTGTAAGTTGTTGCATATATTTTAGAATGAGAAAATGGGTATATATATGATCGTACGTCATCCTCCACCAAGGGTTCATGTACAAATCGATGGACATGTCACATGTTTATATTCCTTCTATTTTTAAGATTCATTGATTATGACAAGTTGTCATTGACAACAATATATTATATGCACTAAACACAACGATATTTGAGAAAAAAAGTTATGCAAAAGAAAAAAAATAGTAGCTGAGAATATATTACTACAAGTATATAAATTCATTTTTTTGGGCTCAAGTCATCAATATCTATACTTCAACAAAAAAATGTCTATATGTATGTAATTTGTAAATTTGAGTTCATTGGTTGGCATTCGAAATTAAAAATATATCTAATCGATCCATTCGATTATTTTTTTAAAAAATTTATTACACATCAAAATATTCAAAAACATGATTGAATTTAAATTCCACCAATAACTGATAAAACGATACAAATTACAAGGTCGTAGATAGGGGTGGACACGGATCGGATATCCGGAATTTTTAAGATATCCGTATCCGTATCCGATCCGTACAAATATTCAATTTTGTTATCCGTATCCGTTCCGTAATTTTCGGATATCCGCAATTTCGGATATTCGTTAAAATCACGGATATTTGCGGATATCCGTATCCTACCTAAAATATTATAAAATTTTAATTTTAAATTAAATAACAAATTCAAACGTAAATAAAATATATAATCTATTTAAGATAAATAATATTCAGAAATTTAAAATTTATAATTTAAACATTCCAAATCAACTCAAATACAAATAAAATTATAACCTATTACATATAAATATATTCAAAATTCAAAATTCAAAACATTAAACATAATAAATCTTGATATTCAAAAGATTAAAATTATAAATCTCAATATATAAAACCTTTTTCTTGAATCACCCTAAAAAACATGTAAATATTAAGCATTTTAAATCTCCATACCAAATTATTCTTATATTTAATAATATTATTACAAAGTACGGATCAGATCGGATATGTCGGATAATTTAATTTTAATATCCGTATCCGACAAATATCTCCAAATAAATATCCGTATCCGATTCGTAAACTCCGGATATCCGAATTTTCGGTTCAGATACGAATCGAATAACGGATCGGTTCGGATTTTTCGGATATTTTGTCCACGTCTAGTCGTAGATAATGGATCTATGAATTTTTTGTTAGTTTAGTGCTCTATGATGTACTTTTTGCGAGCTTTCTTTGGATACATTTGATGTATTGATACTTTCTATAGTTTTATGAAAGTGTTTGATTCATTACATGTTGTGCATACTAGATATGTTGTGAAATCCATGTATTGTTATAAACAATACTAAACTCCATAGTCATATATCATTGTGAGAATAATGATATACTAAGACTAGTATGATGTGCGATTGATGATCATATCATAGGCATTGGATACGATCACAGTCATAGGTATTTGTTGGAGAACGGAATACTGGATTGACCCGCATAAGATTGTCACATGGACTAGCGTCATGACTTGAATCTCATATGGCGGTTCCATGATTGGATCCTAAGACCTGAGATATCTACGGAATCCAACATGAGGAGTTGCGTGTTTTGAATACGTCAAACGCCCTGCGTAACAGGAGGACTATAAAGACGTGTATCAGGTACGAAACAAATCATGTACTGGATTGTAGATAATCAAGACAGGATTTGTACCTCTCGTAAAAGAGAGAGATATCGCTGGGCCTCTCGTGTGAGCGAGACTGTAGAAATGTGTGGCCGCACTATAGACGAACGTCGTCTATTTCAGACAGCCGAACTCAGTGAATGAGAAAGCAGTCGAATTAGATAAGGTGGCTTTTCGATGCCTTATGTTCGACATATGATATCGCGATACAAAAGGATCATCAGCCGGAATCATCACTGGCGTTCGTAGGATCACGAACAAACTCTATTCGACATAGGTAGTCATAGTGACTTGCTAGAGACCGCCTATGACTTGTATATCCGAAATAGGGATTTAGGGTTATACTGCTATATCGAATGAGCCTACAGGGTCACACACGCAGGGAAGGACAAAACGCACGAGAGAACGATGAAAAAACCGAGACGGAAGGGGCTGAACGAACGGACCGAAAGGGCCAGACCCGACGGTCCACCAGGTCCAGACCCGACGGTCCACAGAAGGCAGACCGTCCGTTCTGGCATGCTGGAACGGATGGTCCACGTGCTTTCCTGGACCGTCTGTTCCGGATTTCGGGTTTTTCGAAAATTAGACCGAATTAGGGTTAAATCACCTTATAAGAAAGAGATTAAAACCCTAATTGAAAGAGTGACTTTTTGAGCCGTCTTTGGCAGAACTTTGAGAGCTTTTGGTGAGATCAAAAGAGTTCATAGAGTTCCAAGTCTCGTTTTCTCGAAGCGCAAAACCGAATAGCTGATTCGGGTCCTAGCAGACAAGTTCCAACGGTTGAAATCCATCCCGAGGTGTGGATATGTGTAGAGGGCGAGGTATTCTTACTCCCTTTTCGTGATCAGACAAGTTCTTCTATTGATACAGGACCCGGATCGATTGAGGTAAGCGTTCTAACGTTTCTACGATTCATAGAAGCATGGTTCTAGGGTTTCATTCAAATTTTTGTTTTATATCCGCTGCGCAAACCCTAGAATCGATCTCTTAGGAATATGATTCACTCTAGAGATCCCAGGAAACCCATTAGTGGTATCAGAGCCTGGTTGCTCTGTTTTGATTTCGTAGAACCCGATCACGCACGTTTTAGGATTTGAATTGTTTGAATCCATGTTTGCTTTGATGTCTATGCATGTTTGATGATTGAATCTATGGTAGATTGCATGTTTCATGTTGCATAGAGTGCATGAGTTCGAATTTTGGGTCCACATGTGAATTCGGATCAGTTTCGGATCTGATCGGGGCCAAGAACGCGGGAAAACGTGATCTGATCACGTAGACCTACCCTAGACCGTCCGTTCTGGGTATGCCAGACCAGACGGTTCAGGGGTGACGTACTGAGGTTAGACCGAAAGGTCTGGACCGTCCGATCTGAGTGTGTGGACCGTCTGTTCCAGATAGTTTGAGTACGGACCGTCCGTTCTGGCTCACTAGACCGTCCGTTCCTTGGCTGAGAGTGGACCGTCCGTTGTGTTGTCATGGACCGTCCGTTCCACTTGTTCTCCAAGGCTAGACCGTCCATTCTACTTCCAGAACGGACGGTCCGAGGCCCAGACTCCGAGATTTTTCCGTTTTCTAATCCGATTATGCAATTGTTACGTAATCTGATTGACTGTGACTCAAATAGACATGATTCATTCTTATGGATGGTCCATAGTGAATGAATGCATGTAACTTGATCAAGATATAGGATATGCTTGATTGAGTGGGAGCTTCGGGATTGGGAATACATAATCGAATGGATG